ACACATCAGGAGAGACATCAGACACATCAGGCACATCAGGAGAAACATCAGACACATCAGGCACATCAGGAGAGACATCAGACACATCAGGCACATCAGGAGACACATCAGACACATCAGGCACATCAGACACATCAGACACATCAGGAGACACATCAGACACATCAGACACATCAGGCACATCAGACACATCAGACACAGCAGACGCATCAGACACATCAGACACAGCAGACACATCAGACACATCAGGCACAGCAGACACATCAGGAGAAACATCAGGCACATCAGACACATCAGACACACATCAGACACATCAGACACATCAGGCACATCAGACACAGCAGACGCATCAGACACATCAGGCACAGCAGACACATCAGGAGAAACATCAGGCACATCAGACACATCAGACACACATCAGACACATCAGACACACATCAGACACATCAGACACAGCAGACGCATCAGACACAGCAGACACATCAGACACATCAGGAGACACATCAGGAGACACATCAGACACAGCAGACACATCAGGAGACACAGGAGACACATCAGGAGACACATCAGACACATCAGACACAGCAGACACATCAGACACATCAGGAGACACATCAGGCACATCAGGAGACACATCAGACACATCAGGAGACACATCAGACACATCAGGAGACACATTAGGCACATCAGGAGACACATCAGACACATCAGGAGACACATCAGACACATCAGGAGACACATCAGACACATCAGGAGACACATCAGACACATCAGGAGACACATCAGACACATCAGACACAGCAGACGCATCAGACACAGCAGACACATCAGACACAGCAGACACATCAGACACATCAGGCACATCAGACACCACAGAAGACACATCAGGCACATCAGACACATCAGACACATCAGACACATTAGGCACATCAGGAGACACATTAGGCACATCAGGAGACACATCAGACACATCAGAGACACATCAGACACATCAGGAGACACATCAGACACATCAGGAGACACATCAGACACATCAGGAGACACATCAGACACATCAGGAGACACATCAGACACATCAGGAGACACATCAGACACATCAGGAGACACATCAGACACATCAGGAGACACATCAGGCACATCAGAGACACATCAGGCACAGCAGGAGACTGTGCTCTTCCTGAAGTCCACATCTCCTGTTTTCAGGGTGTTCATGGTAGAACTAGAAGTGTTGTTTCTTTCTGTAGAAGACTCTGAGGTTGAAGCAGAACTATGTGGACACTAGTACTATGTGGACACTAGTACTATGTGGACACTAGTACTATGTGGACAATAGTACTATGTGGACAATAGTACTATGTGGACACTAGTACTATGTGGACACTAGTACTATGTGGACACTAGTACTATGTGGACAATAGTACTATGTGGACACTAGTACTATGTGGACAATAGTACTATGTGGACAATAGTACTATGTGGACACTAGTACTATGTGGACAATAGTACTATGTGGACAATAGTACTATGTGGACAGTAGCACATGTTACAGATGGACAAACTCCATTATTTAGAGGTCAACAGTAGCTCTACTCCGAGCTCCTCTCTCTCTAACTCATGTGGACCGCTTGTATCCGCCGTCTCATCCTTCCTTTGGCTGAAATTCATTTATTCTTTCTATAATAATGATACTCATTATGAAAATATTGGCAACTTAGGTCCAACCATAAACATTCAAGACCAGGCCTAAAACGGTCTCTTCAGACTCAGGGAAGGCTAAACTCCTCAGACTGTCAGTCAAGCTGCATAGGGAGTCCCCTGCTGGAGAAGTATGGTACCTGCACTATCCTCTCCTCCTTCCTACTTTATCTGTTTAGCATTATTAGGATTTTGACTGTAGTTTGTTCATTGCTATTCACCCGTTGTCCCATTGTCTGCTTCATGGTACGATGACGGGATCTCTGAGCCTGGCCTCCTCCATCTACACCTGCCCCGCCCGACTCCCCACCTCCCCAACCTATCAACCTGTATGACATTTATCAACATGTGTTCTATATTCTTTCTGTGTTAACAGTTCATTCTCTGATGTGTGTTGGTGATTTCAATGGTTTGTTAAGTCTCTAAAAAAATAATGTTGTGATTTAGGGAAATACAAGAATAAATCGAATTACTGGTCATACTTCCTGGTTCTAGTCAGGACTAATGTGGTCGTACTTCCTGGTTCTAGTCAGGACTAATGTGGTCGTACTTCCTGGTTCTAGTCAGGACTAATGTGGTCGTACTTCCTGGTTCTAGTCAGGACTAATGTGGTCGTACTTCCTGGTTCTAGTCAGGACTAATGTGGTCGTACTTCCTGGTTCTAGTCAGGACTAATGTGGTCGTACTTCCTGGTTCTAGTCAGGACTAATGTGGTCGTACTTGTCACTCCCGCATTCGTCCCGGAAACCGGATTCGTACGGAAGTTCAGTTTGCGCATGTCAAAAAGTTTAATATGTCCTTAAGTGGAGACTGGTTAAGTTTATGGTTAAGGCTGGGTTTGGGTTATTTTATGGCAATGGCTGGTTAAGTTTAGACATGAATAGGTAGTTTTTTATATTTACTGCCGCTTCCGTCCAGATTCCGTGAAGTAATCTACTGCTGCGTTTGCTCATTGGATCAAACTGAACTTCCGGACGAATCCGGTTTCCGGGACGAATATGGGAGTGACAGTACTTCCTGGTTCTAGTCAGGACTAATGTGGTCGTACTTCCTGGTTCTAGTCAGGACTAATGTGGTCGTACTTCCTGGTTCTAGTCAGGACTAATGTGGTCGTACTTCCTGGTTCTAGTCAGGACTAATGTGGTCGTACTTCCTGGTTCTAGTCAGGACTAATGTGGTCGTACTTCCTGGTTCTTGTCAGGACTGGAGCTGCTGCATTTTGAATGTACTGCAGCTGTTTTACAGCCTGTTTGGACAGACCTGTGAGCAGGCCATTGCAGTAGTCTAACCTACTGGAGACAAAATTGGATAAGAATCTCCAGTCTGAGTCCAGTTTTTGACCCCTGGCAATGTTTTTTAGATGGTAAAAAGCTTGCTGATGTTCTGACCGGTGGCTATTGAAAATTTTTTGAGTCCAGGTTTGACCTTGTTTGAAGGTTTTAGGGAGAGAGACTGTAGGTGACAGATGACGCTCTCTCTTTGTTTCTGGGGACCAAAGACAATCATTTCAGTTTTGTCTGCGTTTAGCTGAAGGAAGTTGTTTTGCATCCACTCACTGATCTGTTGGATACAGTGAAGGAGTGAGTCCACTGGTCCATGTTCTCCTGCAGTCAGTGAGACATAGATCTGAGTGTCGTCTGCATAGTTATGATAGGACACTTTGTTTCTGCGTATTAACTGACCCTAACGGCAGCATGTGAGAGATTGAACAGAAGAGGTCCCAGGATCGACCCCTGTGGTACTCCACAGGTCAGGGCCATATGATCTGAGACACAGTTTCCAATCTCCACAAAGTACTTCCTGTCTTCAAGGTAAGACCTAAACCAACTTAGGGCGGTGCCAGCGACGCCAACCCAGTCCTCTAGTCTCTGTAAGAGGATCTCATGGTCGACAGTGTCAAAGGCAGCACTTAGATCTAACAAGATTAAGATTGAGACTTTGCCTGCGTCAGTGTTTAGCCGGATATCGTTTGTAACCTTAACAAGAGCAGTCTCAGTGCTGTGGTGGGGTCTAAAGCCGGACTGAAACATATCAAATGAGTTGTTAATTATAAGAAATCTAGTAAGCTGTAGGTAGACAACTTTCCCAAGGACTTTCCCCATAAATGGCAGATTTGAGATGGGACGATAGTTGTTAAGTACCGTAGCATCGAGACTGCTCTTTTTTAGCAGGGGCCTGATGACTGCAGTTTTCAGGGCCTTTGGGAATATTCCAGAATGAAGGGACATGTTTACTATCTGTGTGAGTGAAGGTAACAGACTGCTCAGAACAGACTTTAGAAATCTAGTGGGTAGTACATCCAGGCTGCATGTGGAGGAGCTCAAACTGGAGATTATCTCTTGGACAGTTTTATCATTTACAGGTGCAAAGTGAGTTAGCTCAGAGAGCCTTTCTGGCTGTTGGATGGTTATCTGTGGATTGGAGACAATGGCGTTTTTGATGCCTTGAACCTTGTCATTGAAAAAATTAGCAAACTCATTGCATTTTACGTTTGGAAGTTAGCTCTAATGGCATTTGAACAGGGGGGTTTGTTAATCTATTAACTGTTGAGAACAGAACACGCAGATTGTTGCTGCAGCCTTCAATCATTTCAGAAAAATACCTTTCTCTCGTACTACGTAGCACCCGGTTAAACTGTAGACCCAGGACTGAGACTGTAGACCCAGGACTGAGGCTGTAGACCCAGGACTGAGACTGTAGACCCAGGACTGAGGCTGTAGACCCAGGACTGAGGCTGTAGACCCAGGACTGAGGCTGTAGACCCAGGACTGAGGCTGTAGACCCAGGACTGAGGCTGTAGACCCAGGACTGAGGCTGTAGACCCAGGACTGAGGCTGTAGACCCAGGACTGAGGCTGTAGACCCAGGACTGAGGCTGTAGACCCAGGACTGAGGCTGTAGACCCAGGACTGAGGACTGTAGACCCAGGACTGAGGCTGTAGACCCAGGACTGAGGCTGTAGACCCAGGACTGAGACTGTAGACCCAGGACTGAGGCTGTAGACCCAGGACTGAGGCTGTAGACCCAGGACTGAGACTGTAGACCCAGGACTGAGGCTGTAGACCCAGGACTGAGGCTGTAGACCCAGGACTGAGGCTGTAGACCCAGGACAGAGGCTGTAGACCCAGGACAGGGACTATAGAAACGAGGTGCAGACGCTGCTCCCTCTTCACTGTATAAAACCTTTGAATGGACTGGAGTTTTAAGCCAAACTTCTGTAAAAACGTGATGAAGCAGAAAAACAGTGTTTTGTGATGCTTTGTTTTTATTTCTTTTGTAGTTTTGCTGCGCCTCCTCACTCCTCACTGACGATCGGAGAGGGAGAGGGGAGGAGAGCCGTGGGAGCGATGAGATGTTTGCGTATGTGGTGGACGATGACTCCGATGTAGTCCCCTCCGATCATGGCGTCCAGAGTGACCCAGTTCCTCTGCCGGTCCTGGCACAGGTGGCTGTACACTGCTCGGGCCGCCTCCCTGATGCTGCAGACATCAGGCCTCACTCTGATGTTCCACCGCGACATCTCCGGACGAAGCTCCTGAAGCAGATCCTCGGACAGAGACTTCAGCTCCGCAAACCTGTCCGTCTGCAACACCAGAGACACCACCTCGTACACAAGGCCCGCCATGTGAAACCGGTTCCACTCTTCAGAGCCAGGACTGGGACCAGAAGCTACGAGCGTCTGTGCTGCTGGTTCGGTCGCACACACGGCGCCCGCCACAGAAACACGAGCGTCTGATGGCGGTGGAGGTGTAGGGGGCAGTCTGGGAGCTCGCTGCTGCCCCATGGACACTGTCAGGGTGTGGATCTTGGCCAGGGCTCGTCTCACCGGGTCCTGGCGGGGCGTCTGGCTCTGCTGGAGGTGGAGCCAGGTCTTTAGGCGGGACATGAACGAGTCCACGTGAGGGCGCACCTCCTCCTTCAGCTCCTCCTGCTCCTCCTGTGCAGCCATGTTGTCTGACAGGATCTGAGCCAGGTGCTCACTCAGCTTCTCAAACTGACGGTCTTGGATGTCCTGGGACAGTCTCCTGTAGAGGCACTGCTCCTGCTGCAGCGCCTCCTCCTTCACCAGCTCCTTTAGCACTGGCGACGCCTCCTCTAGGATGTTCTCCACGGATGAAGAGGACTGTGGGACGTGACAGCACAGTCTTCTTAGCACCTTCTTCCAGCAGCTCTCAGCGAAGCAAAGGACAAAGAAAGACTTGATCTTCTGCTGCGTTTGGTTCAGGCAGCTCTGCTTGGTGTGTTCCCTCATGAGGCTGCTGACCACACTCTGGGCTGTGTTCCTGCTCCTCTGGCTCAGGGACTTGGAGAACTCCTTCACCTCCTCTCCGCTCGCCTCCACAGCCTCTCGGGCCTCCTTCTCCAGGATGTCTCGGGCCGCCTCCGTGGCCTCCCTCAGGTGTGGAGGAGAGGCCTGGGTGCAGACCTGCTCAGCCGACAGGCCTGGGATGTAGCCTTCAGTTCCTGACTCATTGGTGGACTTCTCTGGAGCACAGGGGCCTCCAGGCTGAGGGCCCAGACACGCACAGTGCCTCTTCAGAGCCCTCATGAGTCGCACAAGACTGGACTCCTGCCTGGTCTTTGCTGGTGCCTGATGGTTGTTCCCATGGTCCTGAGACAGGGCTGCGTTAACCTCGTTGGCCACCTCCAGACTCACCAGATGAAGCAGCTGGTCCTCAGACGCCTTTGGTCGTCTGCAGCATCTGGACTTGAAGATGTTGGTGCAGAGGAAGGCCTTCTTCACGCTGGTCTGAGAGACCTGAGGCCGTGTCTGTGGCGAGGGATGAGTGGAAACAACAGCAGAGAAAGCAGAGAGCATCTCTGTGCAGCTCACGGTCACCATCTCCAAGAACAGCTGAGCAAGCCGCGCTCTGGACGCTCGCTGAGACAAGTCTGCGTTCGCCATCGTGTTCCAGAAGGAGTCGATGATCGGGGCCAGGCGCTTCTGAGAGACGACAGGGAGAACAAGGTCTGGAGGCCGCCGTGTCGCCTGGGCATCGAGCAGAGGACTGATCCGAGCAGACCCAGTCTCCAGGTCTGGCCTGGTCAATGATTGTATCTGGTCTACAGTCGGAGCCTCATGCAGGAGGCCGATCTCTGGCATCTTGTTTTCTGTAGATCCTGTCTGTGCTGAGGCCTGGGCCCCACGCAGGGGGACGATTGGAGGAGACTGCATCTCCAGTTCTGTCATTTTAGACTCTGGAAATGATTGTATCGTCTCTGTAGCCTGGGCCTCACGCAGGTCTGTCATGGTTCCCTCTGTCAAGGCCTGGGCCTCATGCAGGTCTGTCATGGTGCCCTCTGTCAAGGCCTGGGCCCCACGCAGGTCTGTCATGGTGCCCTCTGTCAAGGCCTGGGCCCCACGCAGGTCTGTCATGGTGCCCTCTGTCGAGGCCTGTGCTGAGGCCTGGGCCTCATGCAAGTCTGTCATGGTGCCCTCATTCAAGGCCTGGGCCTCGTGCAGGTCTGTCATGGTGCCCTCTGTCGAGGCCTGTGCTGAGGCCTGTGCAGGTCTGTCATGGTGCCTGTGGGCCTCATGCAGGGGGACGATCAGAGGAGCTGGTATCTCAGTCTGAAGGATGTTGGTCTCAGTGAACCATCGTATATGCTCTAAAGCCTGAGCCTCATGCAGGGGACTGATCTCCAGGTCTGGCATGTTAGTCTGTGTAGACCTGATCTGTGCTGAGGCCTGGGCCTCATGCTGAGGGCTGATTGGCAGAGACTGTATCTCCTCTGCAGCCTGAGCCTCGAAGACTGGAGGAGCCTGAATCTCAAGGTCGAACTTGTTCAACTTTGAAAATGATAGAATCTGCTCTAAAGCCTGAGCCTCGTGCAGAGGGGCCACTGGAGGAGACTGCATCTCCAGTATCTGGTCTATGGTCTGGGCCTCATGCTGAGGGGCCACTGGAGGAGACTGCATCTCCAGTATCTGGTCTATGGTCTGGGCCTCATGCTGAGGGGCCACTGGAGGAGACTGCATCTCCAGTATCTGGTCTATGGTCTGGGCCTCATGCTGAGGGGCCACTGGAGGAGACTGCATCTCCAGTATCTGGTCTATGGTCTGGGCCTCATGCAGAGGGGCCACTGGAGGAGACTGCATCTCCAGTATCTGGTCTATGGTCTGGGCCTCACGCAGAGGGGCCACTGGAGGAGACTGCATCTCCAGTATCTGGTCTATGGTCTGGGCCTCATGCAGAGGGGCCACTGGAGGAGACTGCATCTCCAGTATCTGGTCTATGGTCTGGGCCTCATGCTGAGGGGCCACTGGAGGAGACTGCATCTCCAGTATCTGGTCTATGGTCTGGGCCTCATGCAGAGGGGCCACTGGAGGAGACTGCATCTCCAGTATCTGGTCTATGGTCTGGGCCTCATGCAGAGGGGCCACTGGAGGAGACTGCATCTCCAGTATCTGGTCTATGGTCTGGGCCTCATGCAGAGGGGCCACTGGAGGAGACTGCATCTCCAGTATCTGGTCTATGGTCTGGGCCTCATGCTGAGTGCTGATGTTTGTCTGAGAAGAACTCACCAGCTCTGAAGCCTGGGGAGAGTTTTGAGGCTCCATCTCCTGGTGTGATGGAATATTGCCCCTAAGCCCAGTCTGGAGTCAGTCTGGGTCAGTCTGGAGTCAGTCTGGGTCAGTCTGGAGTCAGTCTGGGTCAGTCTGGAGTCAGTCTGGGTCCCACAGACCAGAGCGATGGACCACAGAGACTCAGTGACCTCATCTGCAGTGGTTTCTATGGTAACCTGTTGCCACGGTAACACAACCGTTCTAGAACTCACACTAGTCTGGAGTTTGTCTTAATTATTATGAAATATGTATAAAGCCAAATGTCCAAAGAGATCATTTAATGGATTCTAACATTTTAGCCCAAGATGGAAGAATATTATGCATCTGTTCATTTTCTTCCACTTTATCCATAGCCGGTCGTGGGGGCAGCAGTGTAAACCAAGCAGTTTTGGTTCAATCTAAACGGTAACAATTATTTGTCAAAAAATAATATAAAAAATAATTCATACATAACTTCATAATTAAAAATAATAAACTTGGGAGTTTTTTTACACAAGAAAAGTTTACACACAACTTCAATACAAATATAAATAATTTATTTCAGTATAAACAGAAATGAGAAAATAACAGAAATCTCAGAAAGTCACGAATCAACAACATGGAACTGCCACAACTCATCAGCTCCTCCACTCAGTAAGTTCTCCGGCTTCCCCGTGGTCTCTCTCCGGCCTCCCCCTGGTCTCCCTCCGGCCTCCCCCTGGCCTCCCTCCGGCCTCCCCCTGGCCTCTCTCCGGCCTCCCCCTGGTCTCCCTCCGGCCTCCCCCTGGTCTCTCTCGGGCCTCCCCCTGGTCTCCCTCCGGCCTCCCCCTGGTCTCCCTCCGGCCTCCTCCTGGTCTCTCTCTGGCCTCCCCCTGGCCTCCCCCTGGTCTCTCTCTGGCCTCCCCCTGGCCTCTCTCCGGTCTCCCCCTGGTCTCCCCATGGTCTCCCCCTGGTCTCCCCCTGGTCTCTCTCTGGCCTCCCCCTGGTCTCTCTCCGGCCTCCCCCTGGTCTCCCTCCGGCCTCCCCCTGGTCTCCCCCTGGTCTCCCTCCGGCCTCTCTCTGGCCTCCCCCTGGTCTCCCTCCGGCCTCCCCCTGGTCTCCCTCCGGCCTCCCCCTGGTCTCTCTCTGGCCTCCCCCTGGCCTCCCCCTGGTCTCTCTCTGGCCTCCCCCTGGCCTCTCTCCGGTCTCCCCCTGGTCTCCCCATGGTCTCCCCCTGGTCTCCCTCCGGCCTCCCCCTGGTCTCTCTCCGGCCTCCCCCTGGTCTCTCTCCGGCCTCCCCCTGGTCTCCCCCTGGTCTCCCTCCGGCCTCTCTCTGGCCTCCCCCTGGTCTCTCTCCGGCCTCCCCCTGGTCTCTCTCCGGCCTCCCCCTGGTCTCCCCCTGGTCTCCCTCCGGCCTCTCTCTGGCCTCCCCCTGGTCTCCCTCCGGCCTCCCCCTGGCCTCTCTCCGGCCTCCCCCTGGTCTCCCTCCTCACCTCCTCGCCTCTCTGTACAGCAGTAGTCTCTCAGTGGTGGTTGTGGGCAGACTGTTCCTTCGGGCTCGCACCAGACTCGTGCTCAGAGAGTAGACTCTGTCGAAGCCGCCGCAGGACACCGGCACCGACAGCAGCCTGCGCGCACAGCTCTGCAGCGCGGGGAACCTGTGCGCTGCGCTCCAGAAGGCCGCAGGAGTCGCTCCTGGCGCAGCGGGCTCGCTCAGGTAGCACTGCAGCTCGCTTGTTTTGGCACACTTCTGCGGTGGCTGGGGCAGCGTGCAGGGAGCCTTGCGCTTCAACTGGTTCTCTGTGCACTTGTCTCTCAGGGCGGGTGTGGCTACGCTCTCCTCGGCTGGAGCAGGGGCAGGTGCCGCTGGAGCAGGGGCAGGTGTGCTCTCCTCGCCTGGAGCAGGGCTGGGACAGTGGGGAGACCCTAAAGCTGCTTCTATGATGGCGGTGACCTCAGACTTGGATGGGGGACACAAGAAGTCCGTCTGCTGCTCTGGTTTCTCACTAAAAGGCTGAAAAACAAAGATTACAAAAATCTGTATTTAACCCCAAGTCCTGATAAATGTATAATAAGTCAAAAAACATAATCATTCTCGTGCTAAAGGTGTTTGACACTAGTATTAAACATTAGGAGGAAGTTTGACAGGGATTCTGGACGTTCTTTTTGCTCCAAATACTTGTACAAGTGCAGAAGGCAGCGTTCTGACCAATCAGAAGGCAGCGTTCTGACCAATCAGAAGGCAGCGTTCTGACCAATCAGAAGTCAGCGTTCTGACCAATCAGAAGGCAGCGTTCTGACCAATCAGAGCTGCTGATCAGAGCGGGAGGAAAACGAGCAGAGTTTGTTGCAGTAAAGTGTGGATTTAAAGAAAATTGAAGGATTTAAGAAGAAAAAAGTTCAGGACGACAAGGCACACTAAAATCCCCAGAATCCTCCTTTATGAAAGCTGTGGGTTCTCTGTCAGGTTCTCTGTCAGCTGAGGTCCCGCTGTTTTAGTTTACATCGAGTTCTATGGGAATTTCTTTCTGGGTAACGTGAATTTAGTCTGCAGTACCATGGGTCCTTCAGCTATAAGCTAGTAATACACTATCCAGGTATCATTATAGATCAATGGGTGAAGCGTGTAATTGTGACAATGCCATGACGCAGACAGAGCAGGTGTCTGTGCGCCGCGACTCAACATGCAGCAGTGGGCCCTCTGGACCCTCTGGTCGCGGGTCGTACCTTTAGTTTGATCTTGGGGTCCAGTGCGGCGGCGAGCAGCGCATCCCGGTCGTGCAGGAGGCTCTGGAAGTGTGAGCGCAGCCCGGTCCTTAGAGCGCGGCTGAAGTGAGGGAAGCTACTCACACGACTGCGTAAACCTCTGTCCAGCTGCAGGAGGGAGGGGACGAGGGAGGAGAGAGAGGAGGAGGAGGCCTGGAGGGTCTGAAGAGGAGAGAGGGAGAGGTTACAACCACAGCTGAGAGAGGAGGAGGCCTGGAGGGTCTGAGGAGGAGAGAGGGAGAGAGGAGGAGGCCTGGAGGGTCTGAAGAGGAGAGAGGGAGAGAGGAGGAGGCCTGGAGGGTCTGAGGAGGAGAGAGGGAGAGAGGAGGAGGCCTGGAGGGTCTGAGGAGGAGAGAGGGAGAGGTTACAACCACAGCTGAGAGAGGAGGAGGCCTGGAGGGTCTGAAGAGGAGAGAGGGAGAGAGGAGGAGGCCTGGAGGGTCTGAGGAGGAGAGAGAGGGAGAGAGGAGGAGGCCTGGAGGGTCTGAGGAGGAGAGAGAGGGAGAGAGGAGGAGGCCTGGAGGGTCTGAGGAGGACAGAGAGGGAGAGAGGAGGAGGCCTGGAGGGTCTGAGTTGTACTTATATATTTGTGGTAAAAAACATTATTGAACACACCTGTAGGACTGACTCTCACACACCTGTAGGACTGACTCTCACACACCTGTAGGGCTGACTCTCACACACCTGTAGGACTGACTCTCACACACCTGTAGGACTGACTCTCTCACACCTGTAGGACTGACTCTCTCACACCTGTAGGACTGACTCTCACACACCTGTAGGGCTGACTCTCACACACCTGTAGGACTGACTCACACACACCTGTAGGACTGACTCTCACACACCTGTAGGGCTGACTCACACACACCTGTAGGACTGACTCTCACACACCTGTAGGGCTGACTCTCTCACACCTGTAGGACTGACTCTCACACCTGTAGGGCTGACTCTCACACACCTGTAGGACTGACTCTCACACACCTGTAGGACTGACTCTCACACACCTGTAGGACTGACTCTCTCACACCTGTAGGACTGACTCTCACACACCTGTAGGGCTGACTCTCACACACCTGTAGGACTGACTCACACACACCTGTAGGACTGACTCTCACACACCTGTAGGCTGACTCTCACACACCTGTAGGGCTGACTCTCACACACCTGTAGGACTGACTCTCACACACCTGTAGGGCTGACTCTCACACACCTGTAGGACTGACTCTCACACACCTGTAGGACTGACTCACACACACCTGTAGGACTGACTCTCACACACCTGTAGGGCTGACTCTCTCACACCTGTAGGACTGACTCTCACACACCTGTAGGACTGACTCACACACACCTGTAGGACTGACTCTCACACACCTGTAGGCTGACTCTCACACACCTGTAGGGCTGACTCTCACACACCTGTAGGGCTGACTCTCTCACACCTGTAGGACTGACTCTCACACACCTGTAGGACTGACTCTCACACCTGTAGGACTGACTCTCACACACCTGTAGGACTGACTCTCTCACACCTGTAGGGCTGACTCTCTCACACCTGTAGGACTGACTCTCACACACCTGTAGGACTGACTCTCACACACCTGTAGGGCTGACTCTCACACACCTGTAGGGCTGACTCTCTCACACCTGTAGGGCTGACTCTCACACACCTGTAGGGCTGACTCTCACACACCTGTAGGACTGACTCTCACACACCTGTAGGACTGACTCTCTCACACCTGTAGGACTGACTCTCTCACACCTGTAGGACTGACTCTCACACACCTGTAGGACTGACTCTTACACACCTGTAGGACTGACTCTCACACACCTGTAGGACTGACTCTCACACACCTGTAGGGCTGACTCTCACACACCTGTAGGACTGACTCTCACACACCTGTAGGACTGACTCTCACACCTGTAGGGCTGACTCTCTCACACCTGTAGGACTGACTCTCTCACACCTGTAGGGCTGACTCTCTCACACCTGTAGGGCTGACTCTCTCACACCTGTAGGACTGACTCTCTCACACCTGTAGGACTGACTCTCACACACCTGTAGGACTGACTCTCACACACCTGTAGGACTGACTCTCACACACCTGTAGGACTGACTCTCACACACCTGTAGGACTGACTCTCACACACCTGTAGGCTGACTCTCTCACACTTGTAGGACTGACTCTCACACACCTGTAGGGCTGACTCTCTCACACCTGTAGGACTGACTCTCACACACCTGTAGGACTGACTCTCACACACCTGTAGGACTGACTCTCTCACACCTGTAGGACTGACTCTCACACCTGTAGGACTGACTCTCTCACACCTGTAGGACTGACTCTCACACCTGTAGGACTGACTCTCACACACCTGTAGGACTGACTCTTACACACCTGTAGGGCTGACTCTCACACACCTGTAGGACTGACTCTTACACACCTGTAGGAATGACTCTCACACACCTGTAGGGCTGACTCTCACACACCTGTAGGACTGACTCTCACACACCTGTAGGCTGACTCTCACACACCTGTAGGACTGACTCTCACACACCTGTAGGGCTGACTCTCTCACACCTGTAGGGCTGACTCACACACACCTGTAGGACTGACTCTCACACACCTGTAGGACTGACTCTCTCACACCTGTAGGACTGACTCTCACACACCTGTAGGGCTGACTCTCACACACCTGTAGGACTGACTCTCACACACCTGTAGGGCTGACTCTCTCACACCTGTAGGGCTGACTCTCACACACCTGTAGGACTGACTCTCACACACCTGTAGGACTGACTCTCACACACCTGTAGGACTGACTCTCACACACCTGTAGGACTGACTCTCACACACCTGTAGGACTGACTCTCACACACCTGTAGGACTGACTCACACACCTGTAGGACTGACTCTCTCACACCTGTAGGGCTGACTCTCTCACACCTGTAGGGCTGACTCTCACACACCTGTAGGACTGACTCTCACACACCTGTAGGGCTGACTCCAAAGGTCCCAGCAGCCCCAGGACGTCCACCAGCTGCTCCCGAGATGCAGAGACCACAGGCGGGCCCTGACCCGGGGTCTGGGTGTCAGTCTGGGTCTTCCCCTGGGCCTGGTCCAGGACCTTCAGCACACAGCCCCATGTGGACTCCTGCAACATCCTCCTCCAACACTGCAGAGAGGAGTTCCACCTGCAGCTGGAGGGAGGCGGCCACAGGGGGGCGCCACAGGCCTTCACCAGCATCTGCACCAGAGGAGCAGGGATCATGGGAGAAGAAAAACACACCATAAACACATGTATGGACTGGTCTCTCTCTCGCTCTGGTCTCTCTCTCGCTCTCTGGTCTCTCTCTCGCTCTCTGGTCTCTCTCTCGCTCTCTGGTCTCTCTCTCGCTCTCTGGTCTCTCTCTCGCTCTCTGGTCCCTCTCTCGCTCTCTGGTCTCTCTCTCGCTCTGGTCTCTCTCTCGCTCTCTGGTCCCTCTCTCGCTCTCTGGTCTCTCTCTCGCTCTGGTCTCTCTCTCGCTCTGGTCTCTCTCTCGGCTCTCTGGTCGGTCCCGGTCCCGCTCTCTGGTCGGTCCCGGTCCCGCTCTCTGGTCGGTCCCGGTCCCGCTCTCTGGTCGGTCCCGGTCCCGCTCTCTGGTCGGTCCCGGTCCCGCTCTCTGGTCGGTCCCGGTCCCGCTCTCTGGTCGGTCCCGGTCCCGCTCTCTGGTCGGTGTCGGTCCCTCTCTCTGGTCGGTCCCTCTCTCTGGTCGGTCCCGCTCTCTGGTCGGTCCCTCTCTCTGGTCGGTCCCTCTCTCTGGTCGGTCTCTCTCTCTGGTCGGTCTCGCTCTCTGGTCGGTCTCCTCTCTGGTCGGTCTCTCTCTCTGGTCGGTTCTCGCTCTCTGGTCGGTCTCGCTCTCTGGTCGGTCTCGCTCTCTGGTCGGTCTCGCTCTCTGGTCGGTCTCGCTCTCTGGTCGGTCTCGCTCTCTGGTCGGTCTCGCTCTCTGGTCGGTCTCGCTCTCTGGTCTCGCTCTCTGGTCGGTCTCGCTCTCTGGTCGGTCCCGCTCTCTGGTCGGTCTCGCTCTCTGGTCGGTCTCGCTCTCTGGTCGGTCCCGCTCTCTGGTCGGTCCCTCTCTCTGGTCGGTCCCGCTCTCTGGTCGGTGTCGGTCCCTCTCTCTGGTCGGTCCCTCTCTCTGGTCGGTCTCTCTCTCTGGTCGGTCTCGCTCTCTGGTCGGTCTCGCTCTCTGGTCGGTCTCGCTCTCTGGTCGGTCTCGCTCTCTGGTCGGTCTCGCTCTCTGGTCGGTCTCGCTCTCTGGTCGGTCTCACTCTCTGGTCGGTCTCGCTCTCTGGTCGGTCTCGCTCTCTGGTCGGTCTCGCTCTCTGGTCGGTCTCGCTCTCTGGTCGGTCTCGCTCTCTGGTCGGTCTCGCTCTCTGGTCGGTCCCGCTCTCTGGTCGGTCTCGCTCTCTGGTCGGTCTCGCTCTCTGGTCGGTCTCCCTCTCTGGTCGGTCCCGCTCTCTGGTCGGTCCTGCTCTCTGGTCGGTCTCTCTGGTCGGTCTCTCTCTCTGGTCGGTCTCTCTCTCTGGTCGGTCCCGCTCTCTGGTCGGTCCCGCTCTCTGGTCGGTCTCTCTCTCTGGTCGGTCTCTCTCTCTGGTCGGTCCTGCTCTCTGGTCGGTCTCTCTGGTGGTCGGTCCCGCTCTCTGGTCGGTCTCTCTCTCTGGTCGGTCTCTCTCTCTGGTCGGTCCCGCTCTCTGGTCGGTCCCGCTCTCTGGTCGGTCTCTCTCTCTGGTCGGTCCTGCTCTCTGGTCGGTCTCTCTCTCTGGTCGGTCTCTCTCTCTGGTCGGTCCCGCTCTCTGGTCGGTCCCGCTCTCTGGTCGGTCTCTCTCTCTGGTCGGTCTCTCTCTCTGGTCGGTCCTGCTCTCTGGTCGGTCTCTCTGGTCGGTCTCTCTCTCTGGTCGGTCTCTCTCTCTGGTCGGTCTCGCTCTCTGGTCGGTCTCGCTCTCTGGTCGGTCTCGCTCTCTGGTCGGTCTCGCTCTCTGGTCGGTCTCCCTCTCTGGTCGGTCCCGCTCTCTGGTCGGTCTCCCTCTCTGGTCGGTCCCGCTCTCTGGTCGGTCTCTCTCTCTGGTCGGTCCCGCTCTCTGGTCGGTCTCGCTCTCTGGTCGGTCTCGCTCTCTGGTCGGTCTCGCTCTCTGGTCGGTCTCGCTCTCTGGTCGGTCTCGCTCTCTGGTCGGTCTCGCTCTCTGGTCGGTCTCGCTCTCTGGTCGGTCTCGCTCTCTGGTCGGTCTCGCTCTCTGGTCGGTCTCGCTCTCTGGTCGGTCTCGCTCTCTGGTCGGTCTCGCTCTCTGGTCGGTCTCGCTCTCTGGTCGGTCTCGCTCTCTGGTCGGTCTCGCTCTCTGGTCGGTCTCGCTCTCTGGTCGGTCTCCCTCTCTGGTCGGTCCCGCTCTCTGGTCGGTCCCGCTCTCTGGTCGGTCTCGCTCTCTGGTCGGTCTCCCTCTCTGGTCGGTCCCGCTCTCTGGTCGGTCCCGCTCTCTGGTCGGTCTCTCTCTCTGGTCGGTCTCGCTCTCTGGTCGGTCTCGCTCTCTGGTCGGTCTCCCTCTCTGGTCGGTCTCCCTCTCTGGTCGGTCCCGCTCTCTGGTCGGTCTCCCTCTCTGGTCGGTCCCGCTCTCTGGTCGGTCTCTCTCTCTGGTCGGTCCTGCTCTCTGGTCGGTCTCTCTCTCTGGTCGGTCTCTCTCTCTGGTCGGTCTCGCTCTCTGGTCGGTCTCGCTCTCTGGTCGGTCTCGCTCTCTGGTCGGTCTCGCTCTCTGGTCGGTCTCGCTCTCTGGTCGGTCTCCCTCTCTGGTCGGTCCCGCTCTCTGGTCGGTCTCCCTCTCTGGTCGGTCTCTCTGGTCGGTCTCTCTCTCTGGTCGGTCTCTCTCTCTGGTCGGTCTCCCTCTCTGGTCGGTCCCGCTCTCTGGTCGGTCTCCCTCTCTGGTCGGTCCCGCTCTCTGGTCGGTCTCTCTCTCTGGTCGGTCCTGCTCTCTGGTCGGTCTCTCTGGTCGGTCTCTCTCTCTGGTCGGTCTCGCTCTCTGGTCGGTCTCGCTCTCTGGTCGGTCTCCCTCTCTGGTCGGTCTCCCTCTCTGGTCGGTCTCTCTCTCTGGTCAGTCCTGCTCTCTGGTCGGTCTCTCTCTCTGGTCGGTCTCTCTGGTCGGTCCCGCTCTCTGGTCGGTCCCTCTCTCTGGTCGGTCCCTCTCTCTGGTCGGTCCCTCTCTCTGGTCGGTCCCTCTCTCTGGTCGGTCCCTCTCTCTGGTCGGTCCCGCTCTCTGGTCGGTCTCCCTCTCTGGTCGGTCCCGCTCTCTGGTCGGTCTCTCTCTCTGGTCGGTCCTGCTCTCTGGTCGGTCTCTCTCTCTGGTCGGTCTCTCTCTCTGGTCGGTCTCTCTCTCTGGTCGGTCTCGCTCTCTGGTCGGTCTCGCTCTCTGGTCGGTCTCGCTCTCTGGTCGGTCTCGCTCTCTGGTCGGTCTCGCTCTCTGGTCGGTCTCGCTCTCTGGTCGGTCTCCCTCTCTGGTCGGTCCCGCTCTCTGGTCGGTCTCCCTCTCTGGTCGGTCTCTCTGGTCGGTCTCTCTCTCTGGTCGGTCTCTCTCTCTGGTCGGTCTCCCTCTCTGGTCGGTCCCGCTCTCTGGTCGGTCTCCCTCTCTGGTCGGTCCCGCTCTCTGGTCGGTCTCTCTCTCTGGTCGGTCCTGCTCTCTGGTCGGTCTCTCTGGTCGGTCTCTCTCTCTGGTCGGTCTCGCTCTCTGGTCGGTCTCGCTCTCTGGTCGGTCTCCCTCTCTGGTCGGTCTCCCTCTCTGGTCGGTCTCCCTCTCTGGTCGGTCTCTCTCTCTGGTCAGTCCTGCTCTCTGGTCGGTCCCTCTCTCTGGTCGGTCCCTCTCTCTGGTCGGTCCCTCTCTCTGGTCGGTCCCTCTCTCTGGTCGGTCCCTCTCTCTGGTCGGTCCCTCTCTCTGGTCGGTCCCTCTCTCTGGTCGGTCCCTCTCTCTGGTCGGTCCCTCTCTCTGGTCTCCCTCTCTCTGGTCGGTCCCTCTCTCTGGTCGTCCCTCTCTCTGGTCGGTCCCTCTCTCTGGTCGGTCCCTCTCTCTGGTCGGTCCCTCTCTCTGGTCGGTCCCTCTCTCTGGTCGGTCCCTCTCTCTGGTCGGTCCCTCTCTCTGGTCGGTCCCTCTCTCTGGTCGGTCCTCGCTCTCTGGTCGGTCTCGCTCTCTGGTCGGTCTCGCTCTCTGGTCGGTCCCTCTCTCTGGTCGGTCTCGCTCTCTGGTCGGTCTCCCTCTCTGGTCGGTCTCGCTCTCTGGTCGGTCTCGCTCTCTGGTCGGTCTCCCTCTCTGGTCGGTCTCCCTCTCTGGTCGGTCCCGCTCTCTGGTCGGTCTCTCTCTCTGGTCGGTCCTGCTCTCTGGTCGGTCTCTCTGGTCGGTCTCCCTCTCTGGTCGGTCCCGCTCTCTGGTCGGTCTCTCTCTCTGGTCGGTCTCGCTCTCTGGTCGGTCCCTCTCTCTGGTCGGTCTCGCTCTCTGGTCGGTCTCTCTCTCTGGTCGGTCTCTCTCTCTGGTCGGTCTCTCTGGTCGGTCTCTCTCTCTGGTCGGTCCCTCTCTCTGGTCGGTCTCGCTCTCTGGTCGGTCTCGCTCTCTGGTCGGTCCCTCTCTCTGGTCGGTCCCTCTCTCTGGTCGGTCCCTCTCTCTGGTCGGTCCCTCTCTCTGGTCGGTCCCTCTCTCTGGTCGGTCCCTCTCTCTGGTCGGTCCCTCTCTCTGGTCGGTCCCTCTCTCTGGTCGGTCCCGCTCTCTGGTCGGTGTCGGTCCCTCTCTCTGGTCGGTCCCTCTCTCTGGTCGGTCTCGGTCTCTCTCTCTGGTCGGTCCCTCTCTCTGGTCGGTCCCTCTCTCTGGTCGGTCCCTCTCTCTGGTCGGTCCCTCTCTCTGGTCGGTCCCTCTCTCTGGTCGGTCTCCCTCTCTGGTCGGTCTCCCTCTCTGGTCGGTCTCGCTCTCTGGTCGGTCTCCCTCTCTGGTCGGTCCCGCTCTCTGGTCGGTCTCTCTCTCTGGTCGGTCCCTCTCTCTGGTCGGTCTCTCTCTGGTCGGTCTCTCTCTCTGGTCGGTCCCGCTCTCTGGTCGGTCTCTCTCTGGTCGGTCTCTCTCTCTGGTCGGTCCCGCTCTCTGGTCGGTCTCTCTCTCTGGTCGGTCCCTCTCTCTGGTCGGTCTCTCTCTGGTCGGTCTCTCTCTCTGGTCGGTCCCGCTCTCTGGTCGGTCTCTCTCTCTGGTCGGTCTCTCTCTCTGGTCGGTCTCTCTCTCTGGTCGGTCCCTCTCTCTGGTCGGTCCCTCTCTCTGGTCGGTCCCTCTCTCTGGTCGGTCCCGCTCTCTGGTCGGTCCCGCTCTCTGGTCGGTCTCTCTCTCTGGTCGGTCCCTCTCTCTGGTCGGTCCCGCTCTCTGGTTGGTCCCTCTCTCTGGTCGGTCTCGCTCTCTGGTCGGTCCCTCTCTCTGGTCGGTCCCTCTCTCTGGTCGGTCCCGCTCTCTGGTCGGTCCCGCGCTCTGGTCGGTCTCTCTCTCTGGTCGGTCCCTCTCTCTGGTCGGTCTCGCTCTCTGGTCGGTCCCTCTCTCTGGTCGGTCCCTCTCTCTGGTCGGTCTCGCTCTCTGGTCGGTCCCTCTCTCTGGTCGGTCCCTCTCTCTGGTCGGTCCCGCTCTCTGGTCGGTCCCGCGCTCTGGTCGGTCTCTCTCTCTGGTCTCTCTGGTACTGACCTCGCTCCAGCTGGTCTTGTTCCTGAAGAAGGAGACCAGGCTCTGGAGCTGCCTCAGGAGCTGCTTGACGTCGCTGCATGTCTCCAGTGCCTCCTCCAGGACCAGCTGCAGCCTCTGCCCCACACAGTGCCACCTGGTGCCCAGTTGGAGATCACACCAGGGGGACGCCACATCACAGAGCTGGTCGGTCAGGAAGGACAGAGTCTCCTCCCCCTCGGCCTCCGCCTTGTTCAGGGCCAGCTGCAGGACACAAGACAGAGACTTGGAGCACCCTGCTGTCTGCCACATGGTCTGCCACATGGTCTGCCACATGGTCCTCACGGTCCTCACTCTACAACTTTTATGGACTATGTGTTTGTTATCATTGCATCTCCTGTTCTCTGATCTGTTGTTGGAGAATCAACAGCTTTGAAAAGTCTATAACTATTGTAGTGATTTAGGGCAAAGAATGTTATGGCAATGTTTAGATACTGCGATTACGATATATCGCTCACATACCAATATATATTCCTAGAATACAAATATATATATTGCTAGAATACAAATATATATATTGCTCACATACAAATATACATATCGCTCACATAGGCCTGTCACGATTACAAATTTAGCTGGACGATTAAATGTCTCAGAATTTATTGCAATAGGCGATAGTATTGTTGTTCTGAGATCATTTTCATCTAATACAATGATAATGATGCAGGTTCACCTTTTCAAAGAGAAATACCACCGCCGGAGGTGGCGGAAGTAAAAATAGTTAGCATCAAGCTAGCGGCTTTTTGTGTAAAGTTCTTGCCAATGATGCAGCTCTGCAGCGTCTCTTTGTCCTGAGACCTTCCAGAGACTTGATATAACAGCAGTATGTGTTCACGGAGGTGCGTCATACGTATATTTTATCATTAAACGGTACTTTCGCATCGGTGAACACGCTAGCTAGCACTAGCTAGTTAGCTAACTAGCTAGTTTGGTCACTGCTAGAGCCTGAATGAGAACAACTACTGTGTCCCCCATTGTCAATCCTGGTTAAGGTCCCGTTTTGGCTGTATTTTGTATTTTTGAGCCATTTCAGTCTGCTCTTGTCACTTTGCAGCTCTCTGACGAGAGAGAGAGAGAGAGAGAGAGAGAGAGAGGAGAAGGGAAAACAAACTAGCATGAAAATGGAATTCATCGCGGCCAGGAAAACTATCAAGCTAATTTTAATTATCATGCGATTAATTGATTTATTGAATATCGCGACAGGCCTACGCTCACATATGATATATTGCTCACATACGATATATTGCTCACATACGATATATTGCTCCCATACGATATATTGCTCACATACGATATATTGCTCACATACGATATATTGCTCACATACGATATATTGCTCACATACGATATATTGCTCACATACGATATATTGCTCACATACGATATATTGCTCACATACTGATATATTGCTCACATACGATATATTGCTCACATACGATATATTGCTCACATACGATATATTGCTCACATACAATATATTGCTCACATACGATATATTGCTCACATGAAGCTCAAGCGCAAATTCAGACTGGGAAGACCTGCATGCCGGAGTTCTCACCTCACACAGCTCTGCCAGCCTCAAGCCTCAGCCAATCACACAGCTCACTGCCGGGGTCAATGCGCCAAACAATAAATCTTTCTAAATGCATTAACGTGTGTCTTGGTCTCTCTAGATTTAAATACCAATATATCGCTAACATTGAGATATACTGCTCACATACGACAGTATACAAAGTGGCCAATACTCTGTATGCACGTACGTACGTATATATGCACGTATGTACGCACGTACGTATGCATACATGCAGGCCATTTTGATGAACCAACTGTCACTTTGAAGTCGGCTTGTTATCACTGAAGGATACAAAAATTTGATTTGAATAATTATATTATAAGATGATGATGTTTTTCATGTTTCCAAATCCATCCTCAGTCCATTAGAAGTTGCTAAAAGAGACTGTTTTAAACATTAGACAAGTTTCCTAAAGTCTGTTTATTTATGTAAGGGTAATGTTTGTTACATATTTTGAGATCCACATTTGATGAAGAGATTCCTTTATTCAATTCTTTCATAGATTCTTTTTTATGTGTGACAGAAAGTTGACAGAAACCATCTCGTCCGTTACACATTTTTCAGGATCATTTATATTTGTATTGATTATTTTTCAAAAATGATTCCTTTTTAAACACAGAATGATCCAATCAGAGGCTGATCTGGTTTAACATTTACCCAAACATTTATTTGTCAATCTTTCCTTTGATTTCATCCATAATATCTCTTTGGTGTGTCTGTGTTTTAAATCTTTTTCTAATCTATAATTGTAAATTTAGATTTTGAGTTATAATCTTTTAAAGTCCAGATAATTTAACACTTTACTGTGAACAGAGCCTGTAACAAATCAGCTTTATTGATATAGCGCGTCTCAGACTGACCGTGTAGTCGCAGAACAGGCGGTTGGCGGTCAGCGCGTGCTTGGCGTCGCTGGTGAGTGCGTAGCCGATGCTCTGGGGGAAGATGCCGTAACTGAGCAGCACGGCCTCCAGCTCGCGGCACAGAGAGGCGCTCAGGTCCTGCTCCAGGCGTCGGAACGCCACGACGGGACGACACAGGCGCCACGCCTCGTTCAGGAAGTGCAGCCGAACCAGGACCACGGGCTCAGGGTCAGAGGGGCTCGCCCACAGGTCAGCAGACACGTGGATTACCCCGTCCCGGCCGGGGGCGGCCAGGCTGGCTTTGAGGTCCCGGATCAGCTGAGGCTTGTGGGTCCTCTCCACGTCGCCGTAGAGACGCAGCCCCACGGAACGTTGCGAGAGGCGGCTGTACTGAGGACACATCATGTTCAGGAAGGAGCGGAATCCAGCGCCCTCCACGAAACTGAGGATCAGAGAGACATGTATACTGAGACAGAGGTACAGTGGGGCAAAAAAAGTATTTAGTCAGCCACCGACTGTGCAAGTTCTCCCACTTAAAATAATGACAGAGGTCTGTAATGTTCATCATTGCCAGAGAGCACATGGATGATACAGCAGAGGATTGGGAGAATGTCATGTGGTCAGATGAAACCAAAGTACAACTGTTTGGTATAAACTCAACTCGTCGTGTTTGGAGGAAGAAGAATACTGAGTTGCATCCCAAGAACACCATACCTACTGTGAAGCATGGGGGTGGAAACGTCATGCTTTGGGGCTGTTTTTCTGCTAAGGGGACAGGACGACTGATCCGTGTTAAGGAAAGAATGAATGGGGCCATGTATCATGAGATTTTGAGCCAAAACCTCCTTCCATTGACTTGAATTTCTGTTATTGACCAAATACTTATTTTCCACCATAATTTACAAATAAAGTCTTTAAAAATCCTACAATGTGAATTCCTGGATTTTTTTTCACATTCTGTCTCTCACAGTTGAAGTGAACCAATGATGAACATTACAGACCTTATTTTAAGTGGGAGAACAATCGGTGGCTGACTAAATACTTTTTTGCCCCACTGTATGTATATACTGAGACAGGAGGTATGTATATACTGAGACAGAGGTATGTATATACTGAGACAGAGGTATGTATATACTGAGACAGAGGTCTGTATATACTGAGACAGAGGTATGTATATACTGAGACAGAGGTCTGTATGTATACTGAGACAGAGGTCTGTATATACTGAGACAGAGGTCTGTATATACTGAGACAGAGGTCTGTATATACTGAGACACAGGTCTGTATATACTGAGACAGAGGTATGTATATACTGAGACACAGGTCTGTATGTATACTGAGACAGAGGTCTGTATATACTGAGACACAGGTCTGTATGTATACTGAGACAGAGGTATGTATATACTGAGACAGAGGTATGTATACTGAGACAGAGGTCTGTATATACTGAGACACAGGTCTGTATGTATACTGAGACAGAGGTATGTATATACTGAGACACAGGTCTGTATGTATACTGAGACAGAGGTCTGTATATACTGAGACACAGGTCTGTATGTATACTGAGACAGAGGTCTGTATACTGAGACACAGGTCTGTATGTATACTGAGACAGAGGTCTGTATGTATACTGAGACACAGGTCTGTATATACTGAGACAGAGGTCTGTATACTGAGACAGTATGTATATACTGAGACAGAGGTCTGTATACTGAGACAGAGGTATGTATATACTGAGACAGAGGTATGTATATACTGAGACAGAGGTATGTATACTGAGACAGAGGTATGTATACTGAGACAGAGGTCTGTATATACTGAGACAGAGGTATGTATATACTGAGACAGAGGTATGTATACTGAGACAGAGGTCTGTATATACTGAGACAGAGGTATGTATATACTGAGACAGAGGTATGTATACTGAGACAGAGGTCTGTATATACTGAGACAGAGGTCTGTATATACTGAGACAGAGGTATGTATACTGAGACAGAGGTCTGTATACTGAGACAGAGGTCTGTATACTGAGACAGAGGTCTGTATATACTGAGACAGAGGTCTGTATATACTGAGACAGAGGTCTGTATAGGGCACTGTCCGGTTTCCGAAATGTGCTAAAAATAGTTCCAATGACTGCGCATGCGCGCATGTTTCGGACAAACTCTGTCCGACTCCGTTGAGTACTACTGTGTTCTCCACATAAGCGTGTGTATTTATTTGGGCTAAATCATTGAATCATGGTGACAACAAAACACTGCAGTTATGGTGCTTGTGGGAGCGATTTCAGATACTCTGAAAAGGACTATATGAAAGCAGTAACATTCAACCTGTTCGTTAAACCACACCATCGAACCAGACCAGGACCAGACCAGGACCAGACCAGGACAAGTGCAAGAGGTGGGTGCTTGTGGTCAGCAGAATTTCTCTCATGAAAATGTTAAAAAGGACATGTTTTTTCAAAACACTTCGCTGGACCAACTGTGGAGCCTCCAGATCCAGTCCTAGCTACGTTTAGCTGGGACTGGACCTGGACCGCTGTATCAGGTCCGTCTGAGCTCTTCTGAATGTAGTTAGCCCCATCAATCCATATTAGTATTGTTTGTCCTAATCCAGAAAGTATACAATTCTCACACCTGAAGAAAGATGAGGGATTTTTTCAACTTCGTGACTATCGGAAAATAAGCACAGACGAAGCGCGTTGGGGTCCGCTTATTATACGGCTTTGTACGAACTGAACACACAAAATAAACTTCTGTCACTATTCATGCCAAAAGGTTTATTTAATGAGTGCAAAGAAAATAGTTCCCAAAGGTTTTAGTTCACCTACTTTAAAAAAGCAATCGCTTTAGTCGCATTAAAAAAGTATTTTTGTCATGAAAACCTTAACAGATAATTCTGAAAACCTCTGTGCACGTGTGTTGTATGAATATTATATTCTAGCATTAACATTTAAATATGTTGATTGATTGTCGTTTGCGTTTACTGAGTGTGGCTAGCTCCGATAGTTTCTCTCTCAGAGACAGTAGTGGTGTAGCCCGTTGTGACCCCATGGATCTATTATAATATCGGCTGACTGTAGTTAACTAAATGATCAAACTAATTACGAAATGGACAGTACAAAAAACAACTTGATAAATGGAAGTTAATCAGAGCAAAATAAACAAAGAAGGCAATGTTAGCATAATCCTCACCATTACCTTTTTATCAAATCAAACTTTCTACCAGTTACTGGAAGACCACGACATTCAAGCCAACGTTTTAATTGGTCTACACTATGATCCCTGATGGTTTGATGGTGGAATTTTGCCCCTGGTTTATCATTTTCGTCTAAAGTGACAAGAGGTATTTGATTCATTTTGGCAGTGTTTGTCCGAAACATGTGGGCGGGAGTTGACAGGCGGCGGGGGCGTGTCTTAGTGACGTCATTCAGATAGTTCGCTATACTGAGACAGAGGTCTGTATACTGAGACAGTAGCTCAGTTGGTAGAGCATAGGCCTTTGAGCCAGAGGGTCGTGGGTTCGAGCCCAACCTTCACCATCGACTCCCACTGTCTGCTGTCGTTGTGTCCTTGGCAAGACACTTAACCTCTGGGAACACCAGCCACAGTGGGGCGGCTGCGGCTGTAAAGTGCCCAACTACCGATGTGTCCTTAGGCAAGACACTTCACCCCCGTTGCCTAGAATGAGTCTGGTGTGCGTGTGAATGGTTGGTGGTGGGAGGGGCCGATGGCACATACTGGTTGCCTTGCTTCTGTCAGTGTGCCCCAGGGCAGCTGTGGCTACAGTAGTAGATTTTAAGTGGGAGAATTTGCACAATCGGTGGCTGACTAAATACTTTTTTGCCCAACTGTACTGTATACTGATACCTCATTGGGAGCATGTCCTCAGCGATCATCTTCAGTGCAGCTTCCTCTAGAGTCTTCTGGTCCACAGCTTCGGACGGAGACCGACTGGGACCGGGTTTAGGGACAGGATTTGGTTTGGGTCCTGGGTGTGGTCTGGAGCTGGGGTCTGGACCTCGCACTGACTGAGGACTTTTGGAGGACTGGGTCTTCACACGAGGAGAGAGCACAGGTCTGATCGCTGTCTCGGCCTCCTCTTCTTTAAGCTCCTTTACAAACAAGGAACATGTGACTTCAGCGCGCACACCTCACTTCAGCGCGCACACCTCACTTCAGCGCGCACACCTCACTTCAGCGCGCACACCTCACTTCAGCGCACGTGACTTCAGCGCACGTTGACTTCAGCGCACGTGACTTCAGCGCACGTTGACTTCAGCGCGCACCTGACTTCAGCGCACCTGACTTCAGCGCACCTGACTTCAGCGCACCTGACTTCAGCGCACCTGACTTCAGCGCACCTGACTTCAGCGCACCTGACTTCAGCGCACCTGACTTCAGCGCACCTGACTTCAGCGCACCTGACTTCAGCGCACCTGACTTCAGCGCACCTGACTTCAGCGCACCTGACTTCAGCGCACCTGACTTCAGCGCACCTGACTTCAGCGCACCTGACTTCAGCGCACCTGACTTCAGCGCACCTGACTTCAGCGCACCTGACTTCAGCGCACCTGACTTCAGCGCACACCTGACTTAAGCACACCTGACTTAAGCACACCTGACTTAAGCACACCTGACTTAAGCACACCTGACTTAAGCACACCTGACTTAAGCACACCTGACTTAAGCACACCTGACTTAAGCACACCTGACTTAAGCACACCTGACTTCAGCACACCTGACTTCAGCACACCTGACTTCAGCACACCTGACTTCAGCACACCTGACTTCAGCACACCTGACTTCAGCACACCTGACTTCAGCACACCTGACTTCAGCACACCTGACTTCAGCACACCTGACTTCAGCACACCTGACTTCAGCACACCTGACTTCAGCACACCTGACTTCAGCACACCTGACTTCAGCACACCTGACTTCAGCACACCTGACTTCAGCACACCTGACTTCAGCACACCTGACTTCAGCACACCTGACTTAAGCGCACCTGACTTCAGCGCACCTGACTTCAGCACACCTGACTTCAGCACACCTGACTTCAGCGCACCTGACTTCAGCGCACCTGACTTCAGCGCACCTGACTTCAGCGCACACCTGACTTAAGCACACGTTACTTCAGCACACGTGACTTCAGCACACGTTACTACAGCACACGTGACTTCAGCACACGTTACTACAGCACACGTGACTTCAGCACACGTTACTACAGCACACGTGACTTCAGCACACGTTACTACAGCACACGTGACTTCAGCACACGTTACTACAGCACACGTGACTTCAGCACACGCTACTACAGTACACATGACTTAAGCACAGCACACGTTACTACAGCACACGTGACTTCAGCACACGTTACTTCAGCACACGTGACTTCAGCGCGCACACGTGAATCACCAGCAGACAGACACACACAGACAGAATCACACAGACTCTTACATTGGGGGGGATCGGTGCGATGTCCTCGTCCTTCTGTAAAACAAAAGCAGTTACAGACCACTGCAGTGAGGACCATGAAGGGTGAGGGTCTGTGATGTCACACGTGACTTCAGCACACGTGACTTCAGCACACGTGACTACAGCACACGTGACTACAGCACACGTGACTACAGCACACGTGACTACAGCACACGTGACTTCAGCACACGTGACTTCAGCACACGTGACTACAGCACACGTGACTTCAGCGCACCTGACTACAGCGCACGTGACTTCAGCGCACGTGACTTCAGCGCACACGTGACTACAGCGCACGTGACTACAGCGCACGTGACTACAGCGCACGTGACTACAGCGCACGTGACTACAGCGCACGTGACTACAGCGCACGTGACTACAGCGCACGTGACTACAGCGCACGTGACTACAGCGCACGTGACTACAGCGCACGTGACTACAGCGCACGTGACTAAGCGCACGTGACTACAGCGCACGTGACTACAGCGCACGTGACTACAGCGCACGTGACTCCAGCGCACGTGACTCCAGCGCACGTGACTACAGCGCACGTGACTACAGCGCACGTGACTACAGCGCACGTGACTACAGCGCACGTGACTACAGCGCACGTGACTACAGCGCACGTGACTACAGCGCACGTGACTACAGCGCACGTGACTACAGCGCACGTGACTTTAGCGCACCTGACTTTAGCACACGTGACTTCAGCACACGTGACTACAGCACACGTGACTACAGCACACGTGACTACAGCACACGGGACTACAGCACACGGGACTCTACAGCACACGTGACTACAGCACACGGGACTACAGCACACGTGACTTCAGCGGGCACACGTGACTACAGCACACAGATTTCAGCACACGGGATTTCAGCACACTGACTACAGTCACACGTGACTTCAGCACACGTGACTTCAGCACACGTGACTACAGCACACGTGACTACAGCACACGTGACTACAGCACACGTGACTACAGCACACGTGACTACAGCACACGTGACTACAGCACACGTGACTACAGCTCACGTGACTACAGCACACGTGACTACAGCACACGTGACTACAGCACACGTGACTACAGCACACGTGACTACAGCACACGTGACTACAGCGCACGTGACTACAGCGCACGTGACTACAGCGCACGTGACTACAGCGCACGTGACTACAGCGCACGTGACTACAGCGCACGTGACTACAGCGCACGTGACTACAGCGCACGTGACTACAGCGCACGTGACTACAGCGCACGTGACTACAGCGCACGTGACTACAGCGCACGTGACTACAGCGCACGTGACTACAGGCGTGACACGCACGTGACTACAGCGCACGTGACTACAGCGCACGTGACTACAGCGCACGTGACTACAGCGCACGTGACTACAGCGCACGTGACTACAGCGCACGTGACTACAGCGCACGTGACTACAGCGCACGTGACTACAGCGCACGTGACTACAGCGCACGTGACTACAGCGCACGTGACTACAGCGCACGTGACTACAGCGCACGTGACTACAGCGCACCTGACTACAGCACACTGACTTTAGCGCACCTGACTTAGCGCACCTGACTTTAGCGCACCTGACTTTAGCGCACCTGACTTTAGCGCACCTGACTTTAGCGCACCTGACTTTAGCGCACCTGACTTTAGCGCACCTGACTTTAGCGCACCTGACTACAGCGCACCTGACTTTAGCGCACCTGACTTTAGCGCACCTGACTTTAGCGCACCTGACTACAGCACACTGACTACAGCGCACGTGACTACAGCACACGTGACTACAGCACACGTGACTTCAGCACACGTGACTACAGCACACGTGAATTAAGCACACGTGACTACAGCACACGTGACTTCAGCACACGTGACTACAGCACACGTGACTACAGCACACGTGACTACAGCACACGTGACTACAGCACACGTGACTTCAGCACACGTGACTTCAGCACACGTGACTACAGCACACGTGACTACAGCACACGTGACTACAGCACACGTGACTACAGCACACGTGACTACAGCACACGGGACTACAGCACACGTGACTACAGCACACGTGACTACAGCACACGTGACTACAGCACACGTGACTTCAGCACACGTGACTTCAGCACACGTGACTACAGCACACGTGACTACAGCACACGTGACTTCAGCACACGTGACTACAGAACACGGGACTACAGCACACGTGACTTCAGCACACGTGACTACAGAACACAGGACTACAGCACACGGGACTACAGCACACGTGACTTCAGCACACGTGACTACAGCACACGTGACTACAGCACACGTGACTTCAGCACACGTGACTACAGCACACGTGACTACAGCACACGTGACTACAGCACACGCGACTTCAGCACACGTGACTACAGCACACGTGACTACAGCACACGTGACTTCAGCACACGTGACTTCAGCACACGTGACTACAGAACACGGGACTACAGCACACGTGACTTCAGCACACGTGACTACAGAACACGGGACTACAGCACACGTGACTTCAGCACACGTGACTTCAGAACACGGGACTACAGCACACGTGACTTCAGCACACGTGACTACAGAACACGTGACTACAGCACACGTGACTACAGCACACGTGACTACAGCACACGTGACTACAGCACACGTGACTACAGCACACGTGACTTCAGCACACGTGACTACAGCACACGGGACTACAGCACACGTGACTACAGCACACGTGACTACAGCACACGTGACTACAGCACACGTGACTTCAGCACACGTGACTACAGCACACGTGACTTCAGCACACGTGACTTCAGCACACGTGACTTCAGCACACGTGACTACAGCACACGTGACTTCAGCACACGTGACTTCAGCACACGTGACTTCAGCACACGTGACTACAGCACACGTGACTACAGAACACGTGACTACAGCACACGTGACTTCAGCACACGTGACTACAGCACACATGACTACAGCACACGTGACTACAGCACACGTGAATCACCAGCAGACAGACACACACAGACAAACACACACACACACACAGACAGACACACACAGACAGACAGACACAGACAGACACACACAGACACACACACACACACACACAGACAGACACACACACACACACAGACAGACACACACACACAGACACACAGACAGACACACACAGACACACACACACACAGACAGACACAGACACACACACACACACACACACACACACACAGACACACACACACACACAGACTCTTACATTGGGGGTGATCGGTGCGATGTCCTCATCCTTCTGTAAAACAAAAGCAGTTACAGACCCCTGCAGTGAGGACCATGAAGGGTGAGGGTCTGTGATGTCACGTCGCACCTGTGTCAGTTGCAGACAGCTGCAGGTGGGTTATGTCCATAGACTGGATACAGATGGACAATGCTAACACGCTAGCTCAATGAAGCCCAATAGGGAAGTGCTCATGGTGAAGATTGGCTCCTATTAACTAGTATTAAAAAAGTAAACTCCTCTGGTCTCTGGTCTCGCCTACAGCCCGGAGTCTGAGAGAAGAGGCTTGCTCAGTAACTTTTTGTGTGACTCCATTTTGGCCTTATTTGCCTCTATTACAGTGTGTATGTTGTAGTAGTACCTCAAGTGTGTAGTACCTGTAGTATAGTACCTGTAGTACCTCTCTCAGCCTCTTGCTCAGGTCCACAGCCTCTGCCTCCCTCCTGTAGTGTAGTACCTGTAGTATAGTATCTGTAGTACCTCTCTCAGCCTCTTGCTCATGTCCACAGCCTCTGCCTCCCTCCTGTAGTGTAGTAACTGTAGTACCTGTAGTATAGTACCTTTAGTACCTCTCTCAGCCTCTTGCTCAAGTCCACAGCCTCTGCCTCCCTCCTGTAGTGTAGTAACTGTAGTACCTGTAGTATAGTATCTTTAGTACCTCTCTCAGCCTCTTGCTCAGGTCCACAGCCTCTGCCTCCCTCCTGTAGTGTAGTAACTGTAGTACCTGTAGTATAGTACCTTTAGTACCTCTCTCAGCCTCTTGCTCAGGTCCACAGCCTCTGCCTCCCTCCTGTAGTGTAGTAACTGTAGTACCTGTAGTATAGTACCTTTAGTACCTCTCTCAGCCTCTTGCTCAGGTCCACAGCCTCTGCCTCCCTCCTGTAGTGTAGTAACTGTAGTACCTGTAGTATAGTACCTTTAGTACCTCTCTCAGCCTCTTGCTCAGGTCCACAGCCTCTGCCTCCCTCCTGTAGTGTAGTAACTGTAGTACCTGTAGTATAGTACCTTTAGTACCTCTCTCAGCCTCTTGCTCAGGTCCACAGCCTCTGCCTCCCTGCTGTAGTGTAGTAACTGTAGTACCTGTAGTATAGTAGCTGTAGTACCTCTCTCAGCCTCTTGCTCAGGTCCACAGCCTCTGCCTCCCTCCTGTAGTGTAGTAACTGTAGTACCTGTAGTATAGTACCTGTAGTACCTCTCTCAGCCTCTTGCTCATGTCCACAGCCTCTGCCTCCCTCCTGTAGTGTAGTAACTGTAGTACCTGTAGTATAGTACCTGTAGTACCTCTCTCAGCCTCTTGCTCAGGTCCACAGCCTCTGCCTCCCTCCTGTAGTGTAGTAACTGTAGTACCTGTAGTATAGTACCTGTAGTACCTCTCTCAGCCTCTTTCTCATGTCCACAGCCTCTGCCTCCCTCCTGTAGTGTAGTAACTGTAGTACCTGTAGTATAGTACCTTTAGTACCTCTCTCAGCCTCTTGCTCATGTCCACAGCCTCTGCCTCCCTCCTGTAGTGTAGTAACTGTAGTACCAGTAGTATAGTACCTGTAGTACCTCTCTCAGCCTCTTGCTCAGGTCCACAGCCTCTGCCTCCCTCCTGTAGTGTAGTAACTGTAGTACCTGTAGTATAGTACCTTTAGTACCTCTCTCAGCCTCTTGCTCAGGAACACAGCCTCTGCCTCCCTCCTGTAGTGTAGTAACTGTGGTACCTTTAGTATAGTACCTTTAGTACCTCTCTCAGCCTCTTGCTCAGGTCCACAGCCTCTGCCTCCCTCCTGTAGTGTAGTAACTGTGGTACCTTTAGTATAGTACCTTTAGTACCTCTCTCAGCCTCTTGCTCAGGTCCACAGCCTCTGCCTCCCTCCTGTAGTGTAGTAACTGTGGTACCTGTAGTATAGTACCTTTAGTACCTCTCTCAGCCTCTTGCTCAGGAACACAGCCTCTGCCTCCCTCCTGTAGTGTAGTAACTGTAGTACCTGTAGTATAGTACCTGTAGTACCTCTCTCAGCCTCTTGCTCAGGTCCACAGCCTCTGCCTCCCTCCTGTAGTGTAGTAACTGTGGTACCTGTAGTATAGTACCTTTAGTACCTCTCTCAGCCTCTTGCTCAGGTCCACAGCCTCTGCCTCCCTCCTGTAGTGTAGTAACTGTGGTACCTGTAGTATAGTACCTTTAGTACCTCTCTCAGCCTCTTGCTCAGGAACACAGCCTCTGCCTCCCTCCTGTAGTGTAGTAACTGTAGTACCTGTAGTATAGTACCTGTAGTACCTCTCTCAGCCTCTTGCTCAGGAACACAGCCTCTGCCTCCCTCCTGTAGTGTAGTAACTGTAGTACCTGTAGTATAGTACCTTTAGTACCTCTCTCAGCCTCTTGCTCAGGAACACAGCCTCTGCCTCCCTCCTGTAGTGTAGTAACTGTAGTACCTGTAGTATAGTACCTTTAGTACCTCTCTCAGCCTCTTGCTCAGGAACACAGCCTCTGCCTCCCTCCTAAATGCCTCCTGCTCTGACAGCTTCTTGATCCGTGTGTGCCAGCGATTCTTCACGGCATTATCTGTCCTACACAACAACACAACTTTAACTGAGACACACACAACCACACAGGACTTGAGACACACAACCCTGTTCTGTAGGACTCACATAGCAGTCATTTTGACTGCTCTGAATAAAAACGAAACACAGATACACAGCCACACACAATCGCACACAGACAGACACACACCTCCCGGGGAGCAGCCGGGCGATCTCAGCCCAGCGGTTGCCCATCTCCCTCTGGGCCTTGTAGATGAGCAGGTCCTGGTCTCTGGTCCAGCAGCTCTTGTCCACCTGTGGGTCCAGGTGGTTGTTCCAACGCTCACGACACTGCTTCCCCACACGACCCCCCAGTCTCTGGGCTATCACGGGCCAACTGCGGGTCCCATACTCTGCCACCAGCTCCACTATCTGCAGGACAGAGGTCTGTGAGAGGTCCACTATCTGTGAGAGAGGTCTGTGAGAGGTCCACTATCTATCTGTGAGAGGTCCACTATCTGTGAGAGAGGTCTGTGAGAGGTCCACTATCTGTGAGAGAGGTCTGTGAGAGAGGTCCACTATCTGTGAGAGAGGTCTGTGAGAGAGGTCTACTATCTGTGAGAGAGGTCCACTATCTGTGAGAGAAGTCTGTGAGAGGTCCACTATCTGTGAGAGAGGTCTGTGAGAGAGGTCTACTATCTGTGAGAGAGGTCCACTATCTGTGAGAGAAGTCTGTGAGAGGTCCACTATCTGTGAGAGAGGTCTGTGAGAGAGGTCCACTATCTGTGAGAGAGGTCTGTGAGAGAGGTCCACTATCTGTGAGAGAGGTCTGTGAGAGAGGTCCACTATCTGTGAGAGAGGTCTGTGAGAGGTCCACTATCTGTGAGAGAGGTCTGTGAGAGAGGTCCACTATCTGTGAGAGAGGTCTGTGAGAGAGGTCCACTATCTGTGAGAGAGGTCTGTGAGAGGTCCACTATCTGTGAGAGAGGTCTGTGAGAGGTCCACTATCTGTGAGAGAGGTCTGTGAGAGAGGTCCACTATCTGTGAGAGAGGTCTACTATCTGTGAGAGAGGTCTGTGAGAGAGGTCCACTATCTGTGAGAGAGGTCTACTATCTGTGAGAGAGATCCACTATCTGTGAGAGAGGTCTGTGAGAGGTCCACTATCTGTGAGAGGTCTGTGAGAGGTCCACTATCTGTGAGAGAGGTCTGTGAGAGAGGTCCACTATCTGTGAGAGAGGTCTACTATCTGTGAGAGAGATCCACTATCTGTGAGAGAGGTCTGTGAGAGGTCCACTATCTGTGAGAGGTCTGTGAGAGGTCCACTATCTGTGAGAGAGGTCTGTGAGAGGTCCACTATCTGTGAGAGAGGTCTGAGAGAGGTCCACTATCTGTGAGAGGTCCACTATCTGTGAGAGGTCCACTATCTGTGAGAGAGGTCTGTGAGAGGTCCACTATCTGTGAGAGAGGTCTGTGAGAGGTCCACTATCTGTGAGAGAGGTCTGTGAGAGGTCCACTATCTGTGAGAGAGGTCTGTGAGAGGTCCACTATCTGTGAGAGAGGTCTGTGAGAGGTCCACTATCTGTGAGAGAGGTCTGTGAGAGAGGTCCACTATCTGTGAGAGGTCCACTATCTGTGAGAGGTCCACTATCTGTGAGAGAGGTCTGTGAGAGGTCCACTATCTGTGAGAGAGGTCTGTGAGAGAGGTCCACTATCTGTGAGAGAGGTCTGTGAGAGGTCCACTATCTGTGAGAGAGGTCTGTGAGAGGTCCACTATCTGTGAGAGGTCCACTATCTGTGAGAGAGGTCTGTGAGAGGTCCACTATCTGTGAGAGAGGTCTGTGAGAGGTCCACTATCTGTGAGAGGTCCACTATCTGTGAGAGAGGTCTGTGAGAGGTCCACTATCTGTGAGAGGTCCACTATCTCTGAGAGAGGTCTGTGAGAGGTCCACTATCTGTGAGAGAGGTCTGTGAGAGGTCCACTATCTGTGAGAGGTCCACTATCTGTGAGAGAGGTCTGTGAGAGGTCCACTATCTGTGAGAGGTCCACTATCTCTGAGAGAGGTCTGTGAGAGGTCCACTATCTGTGAGAGAGGTCTGTGAGAGGTCCACTATCTGTGAGAGAGGTCTGAGAGAGGTCCACTATCTGTGAGAGAGGTCTGTGAGAGGTCCACTATCTGTGAGAGGTCCACTATCTGTGAGAGAGGTCTGTGAGAGGTCCACTATCTGTGAGAGGTCCACTATCTGTGAGAGAGGTCTGTGAGAGGTCCACTATCTGTGAGAGAGGTCTGTGAGAGGTCCACTATCTGTGAGAGGTCCACTATCTGTGAGAGAGGTCTGTGAGAGGTCCACTCACAGACCTGGGTCCTGGGTTCGAATCCCGGCCGGACCAGGGCCTTTCTGAGTGGAGTTTGCATGTTCTCCCCGTGTCTGCGTAGGTTTCCTCCGGGTACTCCGGTTTCCCCTACCACTAAAAATATGTACAATAGGTCTGGCATGCGCCTCCTGTTCGGCGACCCCACTCCCATCTCTGTGTGGAGTGAGAGGACAAGTGCCCAAAAAATAACAATTGTAAACCGCTTTGTGACTCTGGTCTGTGAAAGGCGGTATATAAATAAAGCTTACTTACTTACTTACACTATCTGTGAGAGAGGTCTGTGAGAGGTCCACTATCTGTGAGAGGTCCACTATCTGTGAGAGGTCCACTATCTGTGAGAGAGGTCTGTGAGAGGTACTATCTGTGAGAGGTCCACTATCTGTGAGAGAGGTCTACTATCTGTGAGAGGTCCACTATCTGTGAGAGGTCCACTATCTGTGAGAGAGGTCTGTGAGAGGTCCACTATCTGTGAGAGAGGTCTGTGAGAGAGGTCTACTATCTGTGAGAGAGGTCTGTGAGAGAGGTCTGTGAGAGAGGTCTGTGAGAGGTCCACTATCTGTGAGAGAGGTCTGTGAGAGGTCCACTATCTGTGAGAGAGGTCTGTGAGAGAGGTCTGTGAGAGAGGTCTGTGAGAGGTCCACTATCTGTGAGAGAGGTCTGTGAGAGGTCCACTATCTGTGAGAGAGGTCTGTGAGAGAGGTCTACTATCTGTGAGAGAGGTCTGTGAGAGAGGTCCACTATCTGTGAGAGAGGTCCACTATCTGTGAGAGAGGTCTGTGAGAGAGGTCTACTATCTGTGAGAGAGGTCTGTGAGAGGTCCACTATCTGTGAGAGAGGTCCACTATCTGTGAGAGAGGTCCACTATCTGTGAGAGAGGTCTGTGAGAGAGGTCCACTATCTGTGAGAGAGGTCTGTGAGAGGTCCACTATCTGTGAGAGAGGTCTGTGAGAGGTCCACTATCTGCAGGACAGATCTTGACTCCTGTGAGCTGCTGCATACGTAACTTTACTGGTTCCACAGGAGTCAATATGACTGCTATCACACAGCAGCTGTGTAGTTCCACAGGAGTCAATATGACTGCTATCACACAGCTGCTGTGTAGTTCTACAGGAGTCAATATGACTGCTATCACACAGCTGCTGTGTAGTTCCACAGGAGTCAATATGACTGCTATCACACAGCAGCTGTGTAGTTTCACAGGAGTCAATATGACTGCTATCACACAGCAGCTGTGTAGTTTCACAGGAGTCAATATGACTGCTATCACACAGCAGCTGTGTAGTTCCACAGGAGTCAATATGACTGCTATCACACAGCTGCAGTGTGGTTCCACAGGAGTCAATATGACTGCTATCACACAGCTGCAGTGTGGTTCCACAGGAGTCAATATGACTGCTATCACACAGCTGCAGTGTGGTTCCACAGGAGTCAATATGACTGCTATCACACAGCAGCTGTGTAGTTCCACAGGAGTCAATATGACTGCTATCACACAGCTGCTGTGTAGTTCTACAGGAGTCAATATGACTGCTATCACACAGCTGCTGTGTAGTTCCACAGGAGTCAATATGACTGCTATCACACAGCAGCTGTGTAGTTTCACAGGAGTCAATATGACTGCTATCACACAGCAGCTGTGTAGTTTCACAGGAGTCAATATGACTGCTATCACACAGCTGCAGTGTAGTTCCACAGGAGTCAATATGACTGCTATCACACAGCTGCAGTGTGGTTCCACAGGAGTCAATATGACTGCTATCACACAGCTGCAGTGTGGTTCCACAGGAGTCAATATGACTGCTATCACACAGCTGCAGTGTGGTTCCACAGGAGTCAATATGACTGCTATCACACAGCAGCTGTGTAGTTTCACAGGAGTCAATATGACTGCTATCACACAGCTGCAGTGTAGTTCCACAGGAGTCAATATGACTGCTATCACACAGCAGCTGTGTAGTTTCACAGGAGTCAATATGACTGCTATCACACAGCTGCAGTGTAGTTCCACAGGAGTCAATATGACTGCTATCACACAGCTGCAGTGTGGTTCCACAGGAGTCAATATGACTGCTATCACACAGCAGCTGTGTAGTTTCACAGGAGTCAATATGACTGCTATCACACAGCTGCAGTGTGGTTCCACAGGAGTCAATATGACTGCTATCACACAGCAGCTGTGTAGTTTCACAGGAGTCAATATGACTGCTATCACACAGCAGCTGTGTAGTTTCACAGGAGTCAATATGACTGCTATCACACAGCAGCTGTGTAGTTTCACAGGAGTCAATATGACTGCTATCACACAGCAGCTGTGTAGTTTCACAGGAGTCAATATGACTGCTATCACACAGCAGCTGTGTAGTTTCACAGGAGTCAATATGACTGCTATCACACAGCAGCTGTGTAGTTTCACAGGAGTCAATATGACTGCTCTCACACAGCAGCTGTGTAGTTTCACAGGAGTCAATATGACTGCTATCACACAGCAGCTGTGTAGTTTCACAGGAGTCAATAAAGAAATACACAGACTTTATGTCGGCCATCTTGGATTGCTTCGGCGCAGGTTTGCATGACATCATAAACAGCTGAGGGAGTGAGGCCTGCACTTCTCTGTGAGACAGGGAGACTGAGCGATCTGAGTGAGGCCCACCTGCTGGTCCTCCTCCTCGGTCCAGGGGCCCTTCACCTGCACAGGGCTGAGGCTCTTGCTCCAGCGCTGCATGCACTGTCTCTCTGATCTGCCCTGTCGCCACAAACACGTTCAATGTAAACATCAGGACTCATACATGACTCATACATGACTCATACATGACTCATACATGACTCATACATGACTCATACATGACTCATACATGACTCATACATGACACATACATGACTCATACATGACTCATACATGACTCATACATGACTCATACATGACTCATACATGACTCATACATGACTCATACATGACTCATACATGACTCATACATGACACTCTCTGAACTCACAGGGAGAAAGCTTGACACTGTTTTCCAGTCTTCGTTGCCAAAATTCTTCACCAGGATTTTGAGGTTGTTGTCCTGAAGAGAAAGGAGATAAAGCTTTACTTTTCCTGCTGCATAAATAATACATGTAGTTAGTCCAACAGGAACCGTGCTGCAAAAGTCAAATGCTGTCTTCGTCTCATTGGAAAACATGTATTTTTTTATGTATTAAAAGATCCCTGTGAGTCACTATTGGACTCTTTGGGCTGAGAGCTGATTGGCCGAGAGATGGAGGTCTCTCTTTGTCACTTTTCTGTCTGAAAAAGCGGATCTAAAGAAGTGACGGTGGCTTTGGTGGATAGAAGCAAACTGTCTCAGACCCAAGAACATTGTGGAGTTGAAAGTTACATTCCCCAGCTTTAAAGCACGACTTCATAACTCAGTGGTTCTGATAAAACCAGATAAGTCCTGCCAGAAGTGCCACAGAGATTTCATAATATCTATCTCAGGGTCCTGGTCCCAGACAGGGGGCAGGGGGGGTGTTATGGGGGACTAATGTAAAACAAAAAATATTGATAGTGGGAGCCGGAGCACCTGGAGCACCTGGAGGAAACCTATGCAGACACCGGAGAACATGTAAAACACACAGAACGGCCCTGTCAGGAGGTGGAGTCGAACCCTGGACCTTCTTTGTAAATGAATGGGAGTACAGTAGTGAAGGCTGGCTGCTGAGTACAGTATGTGCTAGCATGGCATGTTATACCTCACTTTAAATAACCACATGTACAGAGGGCATGGCTTTACAACCGTCTGTGGTATCAGTCGCTCACCTCTTCTGGGCTCCATTTGAGTTTGGGTTCAGAGACGGCCTGGTGCTCTCCATCCTGCTCCATGCTGTGAACAAAAGAAGACATTATCAAACATTTCTTGGCTTGTGTTAATCCTCCCACAGTGGGGAAATTCCAATGTTGCAGTGCACAGATAAAGAGCTGCGAATACTTGTTAACTAGCTTTCAATGCTTCATAGGAGCAGCAAGTAAACCATGTCTATAACTCATTACAGAGGTGTACAAGGGAAGCAGAAAACAGCGGACAGTGAGACATTTAACGTTCAGTGGTCCAGATCTGTTCTAGGACCAGTTAGGGACCAGTACTTTCAAAGTGATAAGATAACTACATTTGAGTTTTACATTCAAATGGATGAAAGGGTCAAAATGTTTGCTCTAACACTACGGTGACGTCACACTGTCTCTCCACTCCTTATTAGTTTATAGTGGTAGAGGGAACACAGACACGGGGAGAACATGCAAACTCCACACAGAAAGGCCCGGTCTAAAGGTGGAAGCAAAGCCAGAACCTCCGAACTGTGAAGCATAAGGTAAAGGTAGATCTCATTTCAATGATGAAAGACACTTGGAAACAAAATAATGAGATAAAAAGATCCTTCATTCAGAAGAGTCGAAGTCAGGAGGGTCCAAAGGTACATGAGCAGTCAGTACACTCCCAAAACGAATACCCGTCAAATTGTCTGCTCTGAGAGATCTACATCGTAATAATATATATAATGTGAGATTTCATAACACTTTGAAGCAACTTTTGTTAAAGTTAAACTCATCATTCTATCAATGTGCAGAAGCCAGTACTTTTCCCTTGTTGTGTCTATCTGAAGGCCAAGCTACATGGCACTGTGGCAGCTGCTGATTGGAGGTCTCCATGCCAACGCTCTGTATAATACACTGTGGCAGCTGCTGATTGGAGGTCTCCATGCCAACGCTCTGTGTAATACACTGTGGCAGCTGCTGATTGGAGGTCTCCATGCCAACGCTCTGTATAATACACTGTGGCAGCTGCTGATTGGAGGTCTCCATGCCAACGCTCTGTATAATACACTGTGGAAGCTGCTGATTGGAGGTCTCCATGCCAACGCTCTGTATAATACACTGTGGCAGCTGCTGATTGGAGGTCTCCATGCCTCCGCTCTGTATAATACACTGTGGCAGCTGCTGATTGGAGGTCTCCATGCCAACGCTCTGTATAATACACTGTGGAAGCTGCTGATTGGAGGTCTCCATGCCTCTGCTCTGTATAATACACTGTGGCAGCTGCTGATTGGAGGTCTCCATGCCAACGCTCTGTATAATACACTGTGGCAGCTGCTGATTGGAGGTCTCCATGCCAACGCTCTGTATAATACACTGTGGCAGCTGCTGATTGGAGGTCTCCATGCCAACGCTCTGTATAATACACTGTGGCAGCTGCTGATTGGAGGTCTCCATGCCAACGCTCTGTATAATACACTGTGGCAGCTGCTGATTGGAGGTCTCCATGCCAACGCTCTGTATAATACACTTGCATTCTGTTGTTCGTGTTGTCTCTACCATCGACAATAAAACATGTCTTCTGTCTGAATTAAAGACACGATCCCGACTGTGTCATCTTCTTCAGTATAATATAAAATGATTCCCAGGTGTTTCATTATGACCATGAACACACATTATTTGTCCACGTTAAAAGAACAATAACTGTGTGGTCCATGAGGCTTCATTTGGACTCTTTATGAAGTCAGAACACAACATCCTTCGGTCCTATACATTTGTTCTGTTCCGAACTTGTACATGTTGGTGACTGGACTGGCTTCAACAGTGAATATCTGCAACAGCTCAAAACTACAGCAGAGCAAAACAAATCCACAGGTAACCGGGTTAAACTCCATAAAAACAACGTAAAAGTGTTCATGGAGCTGCTGTTAGCCTGGTGTTAGCCTGTTGTTAGCCTGGTGTTAGCCTGTTGTTAGCCTGGTGTTAGCCTGTTGTTAGCCGGTGAGCTAACAGGCTAACAGTAGGCTAACAGCTAACACCACAGTCCACATGAACTTAACCCGGGCTGAGCTGTTCCAGGCCGGGCTTACCTTCGCGTCCACACCGGGGGGCAGTGGTGGGGGCTTGTGCGCGGTTAGAATGTCCTTATGTCACGGTAGAATGTGTAAAAGTTTGTGCAGAGAAGCTACGGCTCCTCTCCTCCAGTGAGATCCATGTGCGCAGGACAGCGCCCCCACAGGACAGCCCCAGCACTACACAAACACCACATGGAGGACAGCGCCCCCACAGGACAGCCCCAGCACTACACAAACACCACATGGAGGACAGCGCCCCCACAGGACAGCCCCAGCACTACACAAACACCACATGGAGGACAGCGCCCCCACAGGACAGCCCCAGCACTACACCAACACCACATGGAGGACAACGCCCCCACAGGACAGCCCCAGCACTACACAAACACCACATGGAGGACAGCGCCCCCACAGGACAGCCCCAGCACTACACAAACACCACATGGAGGACAGCGCCCCCACAGGACAGCCCCAGCACTACACCAACACCACATGGAGGACAGCGCCACCACAGGACAGCCCCAGCACTACACAAACACCACATGGAGGACAACGCCCCCACAGGACAGCCCCAGCACTACACAAACACCACATGGAGGACAGCGCCCCCACAGGACAGCCCCAGCACTACACAAACACCACATGGAGGACAGCGCCCCCACAGGACAGCCTCAGCACTACACAAACACCACATGGAGGACAGCGCCACCACAGGACAGCCCCAGCACTACACAAACACCACATGGAGGACAGCGCCACCACAGGACAGCCCCAGCACTACACAAACACCACAGGCGGTAGTTTCACTTCCTAAAGTCTTGGTATTTCGTCCCTAGCCTTCTCTTATTAGTGTTTTTAATGAATGAATGTGAGAATCCGTCATCCAATGGTTAATAGTGTCTATTTTACCATGTTTGTGGTTAAACAACATGGAGGCCATCTGCCGCGTCTCGCCTCAAACTCATTCAAGAAATGATCAGAGAAAAACAACAATATAAGAATGTTTGATGTGTAATTGGAGCCATGTCTATTTTGGTTTATAACATCTAAAAATGTCATATTCTCTGTGACCAGGAAACACCATGATGTGCAACATGTACCATGTGGTCTTTTTGCTTTCTGAGAAAACTAGGGCCTAAATCTGAGGCCAAAATGTTTTTTCATTAAATTCCCAACTTTGGGAGATGATCACTCAACACCTGCAGGGAACCGTAAAAGTTTAACTGTTTGTAGAGTAAATGTAACTGTAGAGTAAATGTAACTGTTTGTAGAGTAAATGTAAGTGTAGAGTAAATGTAACTGTAGAGTAAATGTAACTGATTGTAGAGTAAATGTAACTGTAGAGTAAATGTAACTGTAGAGTAAATGTAACTGTTTGTAGAGTAAATGTAACTGTAGAGTAAATGTAAGTGTAGAGTAAATGTAAGTGTTTATTTTCAGACTCACCCAGAGCAGACTCTCTGGACCTGCTCCTGGAACACAGCAGGGTCCAGCCTCGGCAAATCCCTGAAGTAAAAAACATCTTTAGGCCTAAGTCTACGGGACCAGAGAGGACATGTCTCACAGAGAGGACACAGAGAGGACATGTCTCACAGAGAGGACAGGTCTCACAGAGAGGACACAGAGAGGACATGTCTCACAGAGAGGACACAGAGAGGACATGTCTCACAGAGAGGACAGGTCTCACAGAGAGGACATGTCTCACAGAGAGGACATGTCTCACAGAGAGGACATGTCTCACAGAGAGGACAGGTCTCACAGAGAGGACATGTCTCACAGAGAGGACACAGAGAGGACATGTCTCACAGAGAGGACATGTCTCACAGAGAGGACAGGTCTCACAGAGAGGACAGGTCTCACAGAGAGGACACAGAGAGGACATGTCTCACAGAGAGGACAGGTCTCACAGAGAGGACAGGTCTCACAGAGAGGACACAGAGAGGACATGTCTCACAGAGAGGACAGGTCTCACAGAGAGGACAGGTCTCACAGAGAGGACATGTCTCACAGAGAGGACAGGTCTCACAGAGAGGACATGTCTCACAGAGAGGACAGGTCTCAAAGAGAGGACATGTCTCACAGAGAGGACATGTCTCACAGAGAGGACATGTCTCACAGAGAGGACAGGTCTCACAGAGAGGACATGTCTCACAGAGAGGACAGGTCTCACAGAGAGGACAGGTCTCACAGAGAGGACATGTCTCACAGAGAGGACATGTCTCACAGAGAGGACATGTCTCACAGAGAGGACAGGTCTCACAGGGAGGACATGTCTCACAGAGAGGACAGGTCTCACAGAGAGGACACAGAGAGGACATGTCTCACAGAGAGGACAGGTCTCACAGAGAGGACAGGTCTCATAGAGAGGACATGTCTCACAGAGAGGACAGGTCTCATAGAGAGGACATGTCTCACAGAGAGGACAGGTCTCACAGAGAGGACATGTCTCACAGAGAGGACAGGTCTCACAGAGAGGACAGGTCTCACAGAGAGGACAGGTCTCACAGAGAGGACACAGAGAGGTCATGTCACTGATCTGTTGAATGCAGTGAAGGAGTGAGTCCCTGTCCTCCTGTAGGACTGAGTCTGGTCCTCCTGTAGGACTGAATGTCTATGTCTCAATGTCTCTATGTCTCAATGTCTCTATGTCTCAGTGAATGTCTATGTCTCTATGTCTCAGTGAATGTCTCTATGTCTCAGTGAATGTCTCTATGTCTCAGTGGATGTCTCTATGTCTCAGTGAATGTCTCTATGTCTCAGTGGATGTCTCTATGTCTCAGTGAATGTCTCTATGTCTCAGTGGATGTCTATGTCTCTATGTCTCAGTGAATGTCTATGTCTCTATGTCTCAGTGAATGTCTATGTCTCAGTGAATGTCTATGTCTCAGTGGATGTCTATGTCTCAGTGAATGTCTATGTCTCAGTGGATGTCTATGTCTCAGTGAATGTCTATGTCTCTATGTCTCAGTGAATGTCTATGTCTCTATGTCTCAGTGAATGTCTCTATGTCTCAGTGAATGTCTCTATGTCTCAGTGAATGTCTCTATGTCTCAGTGAATGTCTATGTCTCTATGTCTCTATGTCTCAGTGAATGTCTATGTCTCTATGTCTCAGTGAATGTCTATGTCTCAGTGGATGTCTATGTCTCTATGTCTCAGTGGATGTCTATGTCTCAGTGGATGTCTATGTCTCTATGTCTCAGTGAATGTCTATGTCTCTATGTCTCAGTGAATGTCTATGTCTCTATGTCTCAGTGAATGTCTCTATGTCTCAGTGAATGTCTATGTCTCTATGTCTCAGTGAATCTCTATGTCTCAGTGAATGTCTATGTCTCTATGTCTCAGTGGATGTCTATGTCTCAGTGAATGTCTCTATGTCTCAGTGAATGTCTCTATGTCTCAGTGAATGTCTATGTCTCAGTGGATGTCTATGTCTCTATGTCTCAGTGAATGTCTATGTCTCAGTGAATGTCTATGTCTCAGTGAATGTCTATGTCTCAGTGGATGTCTATGTCTCAGTGGATGTCTCTATGTCTCAGTGAATGTCTATGTCTCAGTGAATGTCTATGTCTCAGTGGATGTCTATGTCTCAGTGAATGTCTATGTCTCAGTGAATGTCTATGTCTCAGTGAATGTCTATGTCTCAGTGAATGTCTATGTCTCAGTGAATGTCTCTATGTCTCAGTGAATGTCTCTATGTCTCAGTGGATGTCTATGTCTCAGTGGATGTCTCTATGTCTCAGTGAATGTCTATGTCTCAGTGGATGTCTCTATGTCTCAGTGGATGTCTATGTCTCAGTGAATGTCTCCATGTCTCAGTGAATGTCTATGTCTCAGTGGATGTCTATGTCTCTATGTCTCAGTGAATGTCTATGTCTCAGTGGATGTCTATGTCTCAGTGGATGTCTATGTCTCTATGTCTCAGTGAATGTCTATGTCTCAGTGAATGTCTATGTCTCAGTGAATGTCTATGTCTCAGTGGATGTCTCTATGTCTCAGTGAATGTCTATGTCTCAGTGAATGTCTATGTCTCAGTGGATGTCTATGTCTCTATGTCTCAGTGAATGTCTATGTCTCAGTGGATGTCTATGTCTCTATGTCTCAGTGGATGTCTATGTCTCAGTGAATGTCTCCATGTCTCAGTGAATGTCTATGTCTCAGTGGATGTCTATGTCTCTATGTCTCAGTGGATGTCTATGTCTCAGTGAATGTCTCCATGTCTCAGTGGATGTCTATGTCTCTATGTCTCAGTGGATGTCTATGTCTCAGTGGATGTCTCTATGTCTCAGTGAATGTCTATGTCTCAGTGAATGTCTATGTCTCTATGTCTCAGTGAATGTCTATGTCTCAGTGAATGTCTATGTCTCAGTGAATGTCTATGTCTCTATGTCTCAGTGAATGTCTATGTCTCAGTGGATGTCTCTATGTCTCAGTGGATGTCTATGTCTCAGTGAATGTCTCCATGTCTCAGTGAATGTCTATGTCTCAGTGGATGTCTATGTCTCTATGTCTCAGTGGATGTCTCTATGTCTCAGTGAATGTCTCTATGTCTCAGTGAATGTCTATGTCTCAGTGGATGTCTATGTCTCTATGTCTCAGTGAATGTCTATGTCTCAGTGGATGTCTATGTCTCAGTGAATGTCTATGTCTCAGTGAATGTCTATGTCTCAGTGAATGTCTATGTCTCAGTGAATGTCTATGTCTCAGTGAATGTCTCTATGTCTCAGTGAATGTCTCTATGTCTCAGTGAATGTCTATGTCTCAGTGGATGTCTATGTCTCAGTGGATGTCTCTATGTCTCAGTGGATGTCTATGTCTCAGTGGATGTCTCTATGTCTCAGTGAATGTCTATGTCTCAGTGAATGTCTATGTCTCAGCGAATGTCTATGTCTCAGTGAATGTCTATGTCTCAGTGGATGTCTATGTCTCAGTGAATGTCTCCATGTCTCAGTGAATGTCTATGTCTCAGTGGATGTCTATGTCTCTATGTCTCAGTGGATGTCTCTATGTCTCAGTGAATGTCTCTATGTCTCAGTGAATGTCTATGTCTCAGTGGATGTCTATGTCTCTATGTCTCAGTGAATGTCTATGTCTCAGTGAATGTCTATGTCTCAGTGGATGTCTATGTCTCAGTGAATGTCTATGTCTCAGTGAATGTCTATGTCTCAGTGAATGTCTATGTCTCAGTGAATGTCTATGTCTCAGTGGATGTCTATGTCTCTATGTCTCAGTGGATGTCTATGTCTCAGTGAATGTCTATGTCTCAGTGAATGTCTATGTCTCAGTGAATGTCTATGTCTCAGTGAATGTCTATGTCTCAGTGGATGTCTATGTCTCAGTGGATGTCTCTATGTCTCAGTGGATGTCTATGTCTCAGTGAATGTCTATGTCTCAGTGGATGTCTCTATGTCTCAGTGAATGTCTATGTCTCAGTGGATGTCTATGTCTCAGTGGATGTCTCTATGTCTCAGTGGATGTCTATGTCTCAGTGGATGTCTATGTCTCTATGTCTCAGTGGATGTCTATGTCTCTATGTCTCAGTGGATGTCTATGTCTCAGTGAATGTCTCCATGTCTCAGTGAATGTCTATGTCTCAGTGGATGTCTATGTCTCTATGTCTCAGTGAATGTCTATGTCTCAGTGAATGTCTATGTCTCAGTGAATGTCTATGTCTCAGTGAACGTCTATGTCTCAGTGGATGTCTATGTCTCAGTGGATGTCTCTATGTCTCAGTGGATGTCTATGTCTCAGTGAACGTCTATGTCTCAGTGGATGTCTATGTCTCAGTGGATGTCTCTATGTCTCAGTGGATGTCTATGTCTCAGTGGATGTCTATGTCTCAGTGAACGTCTATGTCTCAGTGGATGTCTATGTCTCAGTGGATGTCTCTATGTCTCAGTGGATGTCTCTATGTCTCAGTGGATGTCTATGTCTCAGTGAATGTCTCTATGTCTCAGTGAATGTCTATGTCTCAGTGGATGTCTCTATGTCTCAGTGAACGTCTATGTCTCAGTGGATGTCTCTATGTCTCAGTGAATGTCTATGTCTCAGTGGATGTCTCTATGTCTCAGTGAATGTCTATGTCTCAGTGAATGTCTATGTCTCAGTGAATGTCTCTATGTCTCAGTGAATGTCTATGTCTCAGTGGATGTCTATATGTCTCAGTGGATGTCTCTATGTCTCAGTGGATGTCTATGTCTCAGTGGATGTCTATGTCTCTATGTCTCAGTGGATGTCTATGTCTCTATGTCTCAGTGGATGTCTATGTCTCAGTGAATGTCTCCATGTCTCAGTGAATGTCTATGTCTCTATGTCTCAGTGGATGTCTATGTCTCAGTGGATGTCTATGTCTCTATGTCTCAGTGAATGTCTCCATGTCTCAGTGAATGTCTATGTCTCAGTGGATGTCTATGTCTCTATGTCTCAGTGAATGTCTATGTCTCAGTGAATGTCTATGTCTCAGTGAATGTCTATGTCTCAGTGAACGTCTATGTCTCAGTGGATGTCTATGTCTCAGTGGATGTCTCTATGTCTCAGTGGATGTCTATGTCTCAGTGGATGTCAGTGGATGTCTATGTCTCAGTGGATGTCTCTATGTCTCAGTGAATGTCTATGTCTCAGTGGATGTCTCTATGTCTCAGTGGATGTCTATGTCTCAGTGAATGTCTCCATGTCTCAGTGAATGTCTATGTCTCAGTGGATGTCTATGTCTCTATATCTCAGTGAATGTCTATGTCTCTATGTCTCAGTGAATGTCTATGTCTCTATGTCTCAGTGAATGTCTATGTCTCAGTGAATGTCTCTATGTCTCAGTGGATGTCTATGTCTCAGTGGATGTCTATGTCTCAGTGAATGTCTATGTCTCTATGTCTCAGTGAATGTCTCTATGTCTCAGTGGATGTCTATGTCTCAGTGGATGTCTATGTCTCAGTGAATGTCTATGTCTCTATGTCTCAGTGAATGTCTATGTCTCAGTGGATGTCTATGTCTCTATATCTCAGTGAATGTCTATGTCTCAGTGAATGTCTATGTCTCTATGTCTCAGTGAATGTCTATGTCTCAGTGAATGTCCTTATGTCTCAGTGATGTCTCAGTGATGTCTATGTCTCAGTGAATGTCTATGTCTCAGTGATGTCTATGTCTCTATGTCTCAGTGAATGTCTCTATGTCTCAGTGATGTCTCATGTCTCAGTGAATGTCTATGTCTCAGTGAATGTCTCTCTATGTCTCAGTGAATGTCTCTATGTCTCAGTGGAATGTCTCTATGTCTCAGTGATGTCTATGTCTCAGTGATGTCTATGTCTCAGTGAATGTCTATGTCTCAGTGAATGTCTATGTCTCAGTGATGTCTATGTCTCAGTGAATGTCTATGTCTCAGTGATGTCTATGTCTCATGTCTCAGTGAGCATGTCTCAGTGATGTCTATGTCTGATGTCTATGTCTCAGTGGATGTCTATGTCTCATGATGTCTCTGATTCTATGTCTCAGTGAATGTCTATGTCTCAGTGGATGTCTATGTCTCTATGTCTCAGTGAATGTCTATGTCTCAGTGAATGTCTATGTCTCAGTGGATGTCTATGTCTCAGTGAATGTCTATGTCTCAGTGAATGTCTATGTCTCAGTGAATGTCTATGTCTCAGTGAATGTCTATGTCTCAGTGAATGTCTATGTCTCAGTGAATGTCTCTATGTCTCAGTGAATGTCTCTATGTCTCAGTGGATGTCTCTATGTCTCAGTGAATGTCTATGTCTCAGTGGATGTCTATGTCTCTATGTCTCAGTGGATGTCTATGTCTCAGTGAATGTCTCTATGTCTCAGTGGATGTCTATGTCTCTATGTCTCAGTGGATGTCTATGTCTCTATGTCTCAGTGAATGTCTATGTCTCAGTGAATGTCTATGTCTCAGTGAATGTCTATGTCTCAGTGAATGTCTATGTCTCAGTGAATTTCTATGTCTCAGTGGATGTCTATGTCTCAGTGGATGTCTCTATGTCTCAGTGAACGTCTATGTCTCAGTGAATGTCTATGTCTCAGTGGATGTCTCTATGTCTCAGTGGATGTCTATGTCTCAGTGGATGTCTCTATGTCTCAGTGAATGTCTCTATGTCTCAGTGAATGTCTATGTCTCAGTGGATGTCTCTATGTCTCAGTGAATGTCTATGTCTCAGTGGATGTCTATGTCTCAGTGAATGTCTATGTCTCAGTGAATGTCTATGTCTCAGTGAATGTCTATGTCTCAGTGGATGTCTATGTCTCAGTGAATGTCTCTATGTCTCAGTGGATGTCTATGTCTCAGTGGATGTCTCTATGTCTCAGTGGATGTCTATGTCTCAGTGGATGTCTCTATGTCTCAGTGGATGTCTATGTCTCAGTGGATGTCTCTATGTCTCAGTGAATGTCTATGTCTCAGTGAATGTCTATGTCTCAGTGAATGTCTATGTCTCAGTGGATGTCTATGTCTCAGTGAATGTTTATGTCTCAGTGGATGTCTATGTCTCAGTGAATGTCTATGTCTCAGTGGATGTCTCTATGTCTCAGTGGATGTCTATGTCTCAGTGGATGTCTATGTCTCAGTGAATGTCTCTATGTCTCAGTGAATGTCTCTATGTCTCAGTGGATGTCTCTATGTCTCAGTGAATGTTTATGTCTCAGTGGATGTCTATGTCTCAGTGGATGTCTATGTCTCAGTGGATGTCTATGTCTCAGTGAATGTCTCTATGTCTCAGTGGATGTCTATGTCTCAGTGGATGTCTATGTCTCAGTGGATGTTGTGCAGACGTCCATCTTTAGTCCAAACCAGCAGAGCAGTAGGACCATCATCACAGATCTGATGTGTGAAACCAGCAGAGCAGTAGGACCATCATCACAGATCTGAAACCAGCAGAGCAGTAGGACCATCATCACAGATCTGAAGTGTGAGTAGTTCATGTGAGGCCGTGTGCACTTACCCTCGCGGCCTCTGGCTCCGCCCCCAGGACGTGGCTCTCTTCTTTCCCGTCATGTCCTCAGACTGGATTACTCTGAAGTATACTGTGAAGTATACTGTGAATAGTACTGCACTGATCCCAGATCAGAGGAGACGGAGAGAGGAGGAAATACAACAGACCTGAGAACCAGAGAATGGGCTCTGCGTTTCTAACGGCAGTTGGCTGTTGCCATGGCACCGAGCTGCAGAGACTTATATGGTCATTCAGGAAGAGGCTTTCAGACTCAGAATGAGGGACTTTGTTCTGGGCCTGAGCTGAGCATCTGTATACAGACGTTATACATCTGTATACAGACGTTATACATCTGTATACAGACGTTATACATCTGTATACAGACGTTATACATCTGTATACAGACGTTATACATCTGTATACAGACGTTATACATCTGTATACAGACGTTATACATGTGTATACAGACGTTATACATCTGTATACAGACGTTATACATCTGTATACAGACGTTATACATGTGTATACAGACGTTATACATGTGTATACAGACGTTATACATGTGTATACAGACGTTATACATCTGTATACAGACGTTATACATGTGTATACAGACGTTATACATCTGTATACAGACGTTATACATCTGTATACAGACGTTATACATGTGTATACAGACGTTATACATGTGTATACAGACGTTATACATCTGTATACAGACGTTATACATCTGTATACAGACGTTATACATCTGTATACAGACGTTATACATCTGTATACAGACGTTATACATGTGTATACAGACGTTATACATCTGTATACAGACGTTATACATCTGTATACAGACGTTATACATGTGTATACAGACGTTATACATGTGTATACAGACGTTATACATCTGTATACAGACGTTATACATCTGTATACAGACGTTATACATCTGTATACAGACGTTATACATGTGTATACAGACGTTATACATGTGTATACAGATGTTATACATGTTATACATCTGTATACAGACGTTATACATCTGTATACAGACGTTATACATGTGTATACAGACGTTATACATGTGTATACAGACGTTATACATGTGTATACAGACGTTATACATCTGTATACAGACGTTATACATGTGTATACAGACGTTGTACATGTGTATACAGACGTTATACATGTGTATACAGACGTTATACATCTGTATACAGACGTTATACATCTGTATACAGACGTTATACATGTGTATACAGATGTTATACATGTGTATACAGATGTTATACATCTGTATACAGACGTTATACATGTGTATACAGACGTTATACATCTGTATACAGACGTTATACATGTGTATACAGACGTTATACATCTGTATACAGACGTTATACATGTGTATACAGACGTTATACATGTGTATACAGACGTTATACATCTGTATACACATGTATAACGTCTGTATACATCTGTATACAGATGTTATACATGTGTATACAGACGTTATACATGTGTATACAGACGTTATACATCTGTATACAGACGTTATACATGTGTATACAGACGTTATACATGTGTATACAGACGTTATACATGTGTATACAGACGTTATACATGTGTATACAGACGTTATACATGTGTATACAGACGTTATACATCTGTATACAGACGTTATACATCTGTATACAGACGTTATACATGTGTATACAGACGTTATACATCTGTATACAGACGTTATACATCTGTATACAGACGTTATACATCTGTATACAGACGTTATACATCTGTATACAGACGTTATACATGTGTATACAGACGTTATACATCTGTATACAGACGTTATACATCTGTATACAGACGTTATACATCTGTATACAGACGTTATACATGTGTATACAGACGTTATACATCTGTATACAGACGTTATACATCTGTATACACATGTATAACGTCTGTATACATCTATTCTATTAAACGCAGACAAAACTGAAATGATTGTCTTTGGTCCCCAGAAACAAAGAGAGAGCGTCATCTGTCACCTACAGTCTCTCTCCCTAAAACCTTCAAACAAGGTCAGAAATCTAGGGGTAATACTGGACTCAGACTTAAATTTTAATAGCCACATCAAATCAGTAACATCAGCAGCTTTTTACCATCTAAAAAACATTTCCAGGATCAAAAACATAGTGTCTAAAGCAGACTTGGAGATTCTTATCCATGCACTTGTCTCCAGTAGGTTAGACTACTGCAATGGCCTGCTCACAGGTCTGTCCAAACAGGCTGTAAAACAGCTGCAGTACATTCAAAATGCAGCAGCTCTAGTCCTGACTAGAACCAGGAAGTACGACCACATTAGTCCTGACTAGAACCAGGAAGTACGACCACATTAGTCCTGACTAGAACCAGGAAGTACGACCATATTAGTCCTGACTAGAACCAGGAAGTACGACCACATTAGTCCTGACTAGAACCAGGAAGTACGACCACATTAGTCCTGACTAGAACCAGGAAGTACGACCACATTAGTCCTGACTAGAACCAGGAAGTACGACCACATTAGTCCTGACTAGAACCAGGAAGTACGACCACATTAGTCCTGACTAGAACCAGGAAGTACGACCACATTAGTCCTGACTAGAACCAGGAAGTACGACCACATTAGTCCTGACTAGAACCAGGAAGTACGACCACATTAGTCCTGACTAGAACCAGGAAGTACGACCACATTAGTCCAGTTCTCAGGTCTCTGCACTGGCTTCCTGTGGCTCAGAGAATAGACTTTAAAACAGCTCTGCTTGTTACAAGTCTCTCCATGGCCTCGCACCAAAATATATTAGTGACATGTTAGTCCCATATGAACCAGCCCGGACTCTGAGGAGCACAGGGACTGGACTCCTGCTGGGACTCTGAGGAGCACAGGGACTGGACTCCTGCTGGGACTCTGAGGAGCACAGGGACTGGACTCCTGCTGGGACTCTGAGGAGCACAGGGACTGGACTCCTGCTGGGACTCTGAGGAGCACAGGGACTGGACTCCTGCTGGGACTCTGAGGAGCACAGGGACTGGCCTCCTGCTGGGACTCTGAGGAGCACAGGGACTGGACTCCTGCTGGGACTCTGAGGAGCACAGGGACTGGACTCCTGCTGGGACTCTGAGGAGCACAGGGACTGGACTCCTGCTGGGACTCTGAGGAGCACAGGGACTGGACTCCTGCTGGGACTCTGAGGAGCACAGGGACTGGCTCCTGCTGGGACTCTGAGGAGCACAGGGACTGGACTCCTGTTAGTGCCCAGAGTCAGAACTAAACATGGGGAGGCTGCTTTTCAGATTCATGCTGCTAAAATCTGGAACAGTCTTCCTGAAGATGTGAGACAGGCCTCCTCTCTGACAATGTTTAAAACCAGGTTAAAAACGGTTCTGTTTAGCTGTGCATACAACTGAGGGATTTTATATTTTTATCTTTCTTTTTAATGTTCTGTGATTATTTATGGTTTTTAATGCTTTTTTATTTTGTTCAGCACTTTGAGTTGCCTTGTGTATGAATTGTGCTATATAAATAAACTTGCCTTGCTTTTGCTTAAATTGTTTCCAAGTTGCATTTTCTTTTTCTTTTGCAAGATGTTGATTGAGGCGAGTATGTACAGTTTGTCTTCCTCCGTTTCATACCCGACCCCCAGAGCCTTATTATCCCCATCTCTCATCTGGTTGGGTAGAGCTATAGTCCTGCTTTTATCCTGTGCCTGGACCTGCCTCCCACTCTGACAGACCATACCCCAGGCTTTAGGAAGAAGCCTCCAGCATTCAATATGCCTTCAACCCCCTTTGTGATCCTGACCAGATTCTCCAGACTGTTATGTGATGTGAGTATGTCGTCCACATTAGTGTCCTCGGCCAAGGCTCTTCCTTCCTCTGACAGGTGAGAGAACACCGGGAGCTTAGCAGTTTCCCTCCTTGCTACCTGTGCTCTACATCCAGCAGGTCTTGTCACCGATGTTCCTCCGGGTGATGGCATATTAGTTGATCTCATCTTCAGGGCTGTCTCTCCAGAGAAACCTGTGGAGATGCATTTCACGGTCCTCCGGCCAGACGGTTATACATCTTCTTGATGTCTCCTAAAGCAGCGAGTACTCCTGGCTGGAATCTTAACAGTACAGCCCTGATTGGGTTCAGCACATCAGGCCCTTTGAGCAGAATGTCATTCATGCTTTGTCCTCTGAACCTCTGGGGACAAAAAGGTTCCATTTAAGCACATTTTATTCATCATTTTAGCTTATTTTGTACTTTGCAATTGTTATTCAAAAAAAACAGTTGTAGTACAGGATTCCATAACCCATTCGTGAACTATAGACCACAGGAAGAGCGTCAAAAGACAGCGTCAAAAGACAGCGGTGGTTGTGCTGAGCGCCCGGCTCTCTCAGGCAGTTCCTATAACAAAGTCATTACATTTTAAAATCACATCTATGAAGCTAAATGGCAAGTGAGGCCAGTACGACAGACATACCAATTCAGGTAGGACATTCTATCAGGAGTTCTATTGGGGAGGGAATGACTCCCAGCTTCAGAGGACCACCGGGGACCACACACACCCGGTCTACAATGAAGCGCCACCCTGCTGCGTGTTGAAAGCGCCTCCGAGAGTCATCAGCGTCACTAACTAAACAACATGTCTGATTAGGACCAAGCTTCAAAACTAAAATATCTACATGTTTTTGATTACTGTACCTGCTACGCAAAGTACAGACACCTGAACACACACACACGCCGAGCGACCAGCACCCGGAAGTACAGACACCTGAACACACACACACGCCGAGCGACCAGCACCCGGAAGTACAGACACCTGAACACACACACACGCCGAGCGACCAGCACCTGGAAGTACAGACACCTGAACACACACACACGCCGAGCGACCAGCACCTGGAAGTACAGACACCTGAAC